TTAATGAAAACTAAAAAAGTCATTAAAAAAGGACTTTGTGAAGATCGAAAGAAGAAAGTTTCTTCACTACAATCAGAATATTTTTCAACTATTCAATGCAAATCTGAAATTAAATGCGCAAGGTTGTAGAGAATTTCGAACGCTATCAGAATATATGATTATTCTTTTATGCTACAGATATACTCAAAATACTTACTGAAACGATTTGTTTCTGAGGATGTATATATATTAACTAAGAAAGTTTGTATTTTATTTTGTTTTTAAATAGTATGGAATTATGGTGATATTGCAAGTGACGGTCTGAAACAAGTAGCTGAATGGGGAGCAATTGGTACAATGCAAAAAGAAATAAAAAATCATGTAAATCTTTATATGTTTTTTTTTCCAATAATAATTTGAGAAAAAAAATATTCATTTAGACTAAATTTGGTGTTATCCGTAATTTAATGATTGTACCTGGTCTTTGGACAGTTAATGTAAGCAAATCAACTGCAGGCGCTTTTACAACTTCAAGAAATCATCATTTCTTATCATTTGTTACAATGCTTGGACCATCACCTGATTGGATTACTGGTAAAAATCTATTGAATTTAATATTTTTTCTTTACTATTATCATGTATAGGTGTATCTGGTCTTGATTTATGTCTTCCAAATTGTACATGGATGGATAGTTATGAAGAATTACTTCATCCAGTTGATGCTGGAACGGATATGGGCGTTCGATATGATGTAAATGATGATTTGATTTTTAATCATTAGAATAAAGTAAGAGAGACATTTTATTTATTTAGGGTCCTAAACGACCAGAAAATTCACGCAAACCAATTGTACCAATTCTTTCAAGTAATATTACAGACAATCGATCACCATTTTTTGGTATGAATTTAACTATACAAAAGAAAAAGAAAATATTAATATTTATTTTCCATTGTTTAGGCAATCAACCACCTCCATTTGCTAAATTGAGTATTAAACGAGTTATGGTACAAGGTGTAGCTTGTCCATATGGTCGACCACAACATGGTGAAACATCATCTGCCATTAATTTTGGTCCAAATTTTGTTGATTTAAGTCGTATGAGTGAAACTGAAAGTGAAAAAGATATTGTAAAAACAAATGTAGAATTACTTGGTAATTTTGTTCTTTGTTTTTCTTTTGTCTACTAATTATAATATTTATATGAAAATATATTTTTTTAATGATTTTAGATGAACAATCATCTGACCCACGATGTATGACATCACCATGGACAGACTGGAGTCCATGTAATGTTAAATGTGGAAATGGATTAAGAACACGAGCAAGGTTTATTTGAGTTTAAAAAAATATTTTTTTCATATTAATAAATAAATATATTTTTTAGAATGTATAAAAATGCTGATCATCATGGATGTAATGAACGATTAAGTGAAAGTGAAATGTGTTATGCAAGAACAGGTGATGATTGTAATGATGAACATCAACAAGTTGCAGCGTATGTTGGCTTTACCCTAAAAAAAAACAAAATTTTAAATTATTTATTTTCTGTTGGTTTAGATGTGCTGTAACAGATTGGTCATCATTTTCACCATGTTCAGTATCATGTGGTCAAGGTATAACAGAAAGACGACGATGGTATATCAATGAAAATTCACATCATGATCCAAGATGTAAAGATGTTCATTTAATTGAAAAACGTCAATGTCATGGTACAAGTACTGCTCAATGTGACAGTAATGGAAATAAAGGTACTTCTATTATAGAATCCTTGATTACGAGATTCATAGAGACATATTTTATTCTATCGATACAAGAAACTTTTTGAAAACAACTCAAGAGTGTTCTAGAAGTACTGAAACAATTTTAAAATTTACCGTTTTCACATTCGGCAAAAGGAAACTCTTTGCAAGTTTGATAGATTATCGTAGCCACTTAGCACTAAATAAGTCTAAAGTTTCATGCATTTCATTTTTACTACGGTTGAAAAATTTTAACAGCACTATCATGTATTATTTTTTCAATTTTCTTGATTGATATTTTTATTCGTATATTTGATTAATATCATGATGGATTACTAATTTTAACCATACTGATATATCATCTATTATTTATTCATATAAAAAAGTAGTAAGTTGTTTTTATTTCTTTTTTCATTGTCGTTTTTCAGTTGTTCAGTATTATTATATTTCCATTCTCCTTAGGCTTTCTTTTAATGCACTTCAAGTTTTCTTTTTATAGACCTAGCATCAGCTAGTTTGCAGAATAATTTGTTGATTTAATTCGATTGATAAAAATATGTTTAACAGCATTTAAAGTCAACTACATACTTAGCTTATGATCTGTGATCATATTGAAAAATTACATTTTGCAAATCATCTAATTTCTTTCGCTACATTTTTGAATATAATCGGTCAAATAAATTTTACATATCTGTTACGAATAAAATATTTTTTTGTAACAGCAAATACTAGAAGTGTGACTTAAGAAGCTCCATCCATCGATTGATAAAAATAGATGTTTAAGAAATTTATCAATTTAGTTTATCAACCGTAGTGCAAGCTATGAACTTGAAACTTCATAGCTATTTCGTACTAAATAGATACAATTGTCTGTCAAAGTTGCAAAGAGTTTGTTTTAATCGAATACAAAAACGATACTTTTTAAAAACATTTTAGAACTTCTGAGATACATAATATATTCATACCAGGATTCACAGGATATTTTTGACAATAAAACTCTATAAACTAAATTAGCTTCAAGAAAAATTCACTAGTTCTAATTATTTTTATTAAAATTCTGATATTCCTGAGTCAATTGTTTTCCTGACGAATTATCTTCAATTAATTGTATTTCAAAACATATATTTAATAAAAATTTATTATCTTATTTTAGAACGATGTATGTCTGAACCAGTTGCAGATAATCGATGTCGTGGTTTACAACGATATTATTATAATAAAACAAGTATGTCATGTGAACCATTTGATGGTAATAATGCATGTCCTGCTCGTGGTAATAATAAAAATAATTTTGCTGATAAAATGGAATGTGAAACTACTTGCAATAATCTTCTGGCTCAAAGTAAGTATGAAAAGCAACACATATGATAAAACAAACAACATTCACTTTTCCTCCTTAGGTAACGAGTTATCATGTTCAATGAGTCCTTGGAGTGAATGGAGTGAATGTTCAGTAACATGTGGTCGTAATGGTATTCGACGTCGTATGCGAACATTATTAAGTAATCAAAGAGCAGTTGATCAATATCGTTGTCAATCATTATCTCTTGAAGAAACTCAGCCATGTAATTTAAATCCTTGTCGTACGTATTAATTAGTTTTTTTTTTGTTTTTGTTATATATTTTAATTGTTTTTTTTTTTCATTTCATTTTATTTAGCACCAACTGATTGTGTTGTAAGTCAATGGAGTACATGGTCTGCATGTACAGGTTGTGGACAAGATGCAATACAAACACGTACACGGATTCCTGTACGTCGAGCACGTAATGGTGGTAAACGATGTGGACCATTAAAAGAAACAAGATATTGTCAAACAACTGTATCATGTTAAACAAATTCAAATACAAGAAAAAAAATATTTTAGTTGGTGCTATTATTAAATAGACAGAAAAAAAAATAATATTATTCAAACTTTCTTTTGTCGTGTTCATTTTAGAATTATGTTGAGAAAAAAATAACAATAATAGTTTTGTGTTACAATAGAATTGTTTTTTTTTTTAATTTGAGTAATATAGAATAAGTATTGTGTAAGGCTTCTTTTACAAAAAAAAAATTATGCTATTTTTAAACTAGCAGAAGAACTAATAGCGGAGACCTAATAAAAACAAAGATGATCGTTCATTATTTCAAGGAATTGTTTTCGAAAATAATTTTATTTACAATTAAATTGAAATGATCAAATACATAAGAGATTTTGTGCGTTCGATAACTACAAAACACGTCTTATTAAATAAGAAAAACAAAACAAGTAAAATTGAGATTGATCACCTATGTTCTATTCGATAGATTGATATCTTGTATGAAAATTGAACAAAAATAATTGAAATTTTAATTAAGTAACGGTAATGCACTGAAGATTAGATAGAAGAATACTCATCTTCAAAAAAAGATGTGCATTATGCATTGATATTTTAAAAATCATTTCTAATTCATGATATGATCATCCATAATTTTATTCCATGTACATTTAATGATATAACCCGATCGACTGAACTACCGTCGCTGTAAATATTTATTGAAAATTTCTGTCACCATCGCTACGACACTGGACGTTTGATATCCAGAATACGTTTTCAGTTTTGCTTTTGTCCAGTTTTCTTTTCCTCTATATTTTCCATCATTATTTTATCTTGTTTTTGCATTTCAAAAATTTCCTAGAAGAATACAATTTGAAAAAAAAAAGCATTAAGAACTTTCAGCCGATGATATCTTTGCATCGGTCATCATCTCTATACACTGTGTTTTTATCTAAATCGTCCATTAATTAACCATTTAGTTACTCACATAAGAAAGAGAAAAACAATTTGTCCTAATAGTCTTTATAACTATTTATGATACGACTCCAACACATGTCATAGCAAAATGGTCATGTAACCGTTTCTACCGTCTGACGTTTGCTTTTATGAGAATGTATATAAAAATAAAACATACATTTGTATCAATTGCGTTGGTTTCTTACAATAATAAAACGCGTGACATATATATGCGTCTTCAATAATAAAAAAGTTGAAGTTGTTTTCATTTTTTCAAACATGTTTGTATTCTATCAAAACATCAATGATAATTCGAATAATAAATATTTTCTATCGATAAATAGAAATGAAAGTTATTCAAACCACAGAAAAAAACAATGATTAAATAAAATTAATCTAAGAAAATGTCTTTATATTATAAGAAAATAAATTTATCAATCACATGTGTTCCAACGGAAAAAAATCGAACAATCACAACTATCAAAAAAAAAAAAAAAGAATCACTATTGCAATTATTTGGTAATATCTCAATCAGTAGTATTAAGTGGCTGCATAAAATTTGATGATGATGATGACCGAGATGATAATTGACTTGTATCATTTGTAGTACCTAAAATAAGTTGAGACAAACGTTTAAATGATTGATCATGAACAGAACGAGCTTCAATATGAGTTAAAATACGTTTCTAAATATTCAAAAAAATAAAAACAAAGAATTATGATTGATTTAATTAAGTATTTCATTTACAGCCAATTTTTGTGCATCTGGGTTTGGACTTTTTTGTGCTAAATTCCAAAGATTAACAGCAAATTTAATACATTTCGATTGATTTAAATCTCCATGTGCAATTAAACGATTGAAAAATTCCAGTGCTAATGTTGATTGTCGTTTGGGATTCTAAATATCAAAGAAAAAAAAAACATTTGTAAATACATTTTTTCCTATCATATTCATCATCCTTACTGTATTTGCTAAATCTTTAAGAATTTGTATAATTTGTTCACAAATACGACTTAATCTTTGATGAATTTCATTAAGAAAATTTTCATCATTACCATATAAGGTATCATTTGATTCGACTAATTAGAAAAAAAAAAAAGAAAAATCTTCTAAAATATCATTCAATTATGGATAGGCCATTATGAATTGGATTAATTGTAAATGCAATATATCAATCAATTACTATTCATACAATAGTATTTCTTATATAGGGTGTGGAATGTGGTGTGATTGTGTCCATGTGGTGCGGTTATGAGTGTATGTGTCGGTGTCGACCTCCTTGATATTAGCACCCACATTCACACCCCATACTCATATTCCAAACCAGCACCCATAGCCACACCCCTAACCGCAAGTTACTTGTAAAACTTGAAATTTTTTATCTTTTGGTATATGAATAAATTTCAATTAGAAGACAATTGCATTTACATTTAGTCCAATTCATTATAACCCATCTGTTATATTTTAAACATATAAATTTACTTTTTGAAATATGATACGGTAAAAATGTTTGAATTTGTGTTGAAATAAGACATAACATATTCATTAAAAGCATAACACGTGTTTCACTTGTATCATCAAAACATTTCATTTGATTAATAACATTATTTAAACCATGAGCAAGATATAAAACACCTGCATCTGGATTATCCTAAAAAAACAAAAACAATGTTCAAAATTTTTTTTTATGTAATTTATTTCTTAAATCTATGATTACATACAGGTACAATAACAAGTGTTGACATCATATTTGTAATTGATTCATATAAATATTTATCACTTGATACTAATTTTCCATCAATTTCAATTTGTTTAGGAAAATCAGATAGAAGTGTTATAGCCATTTTAAGAAAACCATCACCTAAATTGATATTTGAAAATAATAAGAACAAATTTATGGTTCTTTTTTTTATCACATATATATTTTCAAACCTTGTGAAAGACTTTGATTTAAATATGCTGTTTGTGCACATAATGTATATAATTGAAGTTTATTTAAAGGATGTTCTAATGATGGAATTGTTATATAACAAAAAGCCATACAAGCACGTATAAAAGATGATGTTGCAGTTGAATGTACACCATTAACAATACGATGTGTTGATACAGCTAATGTATTTACTTTCTATAGAATAATTAAATGGTTTAATAAATTTTTTCAATTGAAATAAAAAGAAAGATTAGGTTTGTTGGAGAAGAAAATGATATGATATTTTTTTAATCAGGAATTTTAGTATTTTTATTGTATGATTTTGAAGATTTGGTTATTTGGATTATCGGTTTTTATTTGTGATTAATAACCAATAAAGTTGATAGAAGAAATGATACTAACTGATTCTTAGAAACTATCTATTTGAAGTAATAAAGCATCGGATTGAGATAATTTTCGAATATTGTGTAGAAACTTTAATAAGCTAGAAATTCAAAATAAAATAAAATTTTTTTTAATTATTTCGTGACTAAGATTTGTGAGTTAGAAAACAGTTTTTTTTTCAAAGAAAAATCTTTTTTTTCTATTTAGTTACAAAGACTGATTTTTCTCATATGCATCAAATTGATCAGTACTAATATGGATATACTCTACTTGGAGAGTAGGATATTAAATAACTCTTGATTATCGATGTGAAGACAGCTTTTTTCGTGACGACTTAAGTCATATTTGACTAATTCGTAATCTAAACATGAAAATATTTGTTCTAGAATTATTTTTTATTTTTGAGATAAGCGCATAAATTGCACGATCTTCCTATTAAGTACTAAATTAGAACTAATAGCCAGTCAGAATGCATCTCACCTTTAATTTTAAATAAATTTTTATCGATAAAAGATAGATACCCACAACTTCAACACGATTCCGGAAATGAAAGTCCTCATTTCAATGCGAAAATAGTCGCCTTTTCAAGTATCTACTTATGCATCAATCTCTGAAATAGCTCCTTTTTCAAAAAATTATTCATGATAAATAACCTTCAAATTAAAGTAACAATACATTCAATATTTATATCATTCGAGACGATTAACTCATCTACTGCCCATTCTGTATGTCACAGTGAAACGACTTGTCTCATAATCAGCATTTGCATATGTTAATCTCATAGTTAATCCAACATTAATTCTATTGACTAAGTACTACGGAGTCAAGGCATAATCATATTTCAATTCAATTTCATTGAGTGACTTTTGGATTATGTCATTAGATATGTATTTGCAATAATGTGGACAAAAAAATGAAGTTTTTGTTAAAGAAATTCATGCGTACAATGATTCAAGAGATATATTTTGTTCAAAAACAAGTCTCTGTCAGTTATTCAATTATACTTCTATAAAGTCAACATTTATAGAAATTATTCTATTAATATTATCATAAGTAATTAAGAACTTAAATATCTGAACAGATTGCTATATAGATATTCTTTCTATGTTTACCTGTATAAGTGTGATAGTCACTGAATCTAAATAACCAAATAAACCACGAGCTTCAACACAAAATTTAAGTTCTTCTTCAACATCTTTTCCATAATCAACTTTACGTATTAATGAAGATAAAAGTCCACTAACTTCACGTAATTCATCATCATTTGTCAAAGCTCTTAAATGACAACAAAAAAGGTTTTCATTATGTTTTTTTTTTTTGTATTAAAAATGAACAAACCCAAGTGTATCATGAACACTTTTAGCACAATGCATCATAGCAGCTATTAATACTGGATCATTTGTTTTTTCTTGTGGATTTCTAGAATAATAAATATCAACAGAAAAAATGAAAATCTAAAGTTCTTTTATTGTTGCAGATACTAACTTATTAATAAATGCATATAAAATTGATTTAAATAAATCTACTCGAATATGTTCACGTTGAAATAAATCAAGAAATGGTAATATTTTATCCTATAATAAAAATCAATCAAATTATTTGACTTAGTTGTACTTCTCTTTATCTTTATCTGAAATACCATAGCAAGTAATGATGCAAAATCTTGAATATTTGCTAGAAGCTTAATCATAATTGCATGTAATTTTCCATAATATTCTTCAAAAACACGATCTGGTGTTAAATGTTTAATAATATCACCCAACATTGTATTCAATTCTCGTGTCTACAAAACTAATAAATCATTAAACGAATATATTGCTTTTTGATCGTCTCACCGTATATTCTTTTGATGTCAATTCGACCCAAACTTCAGCACATGTCATATAGGCCTATAATGAATATGTTAATTCTTTCGATTTGATAAAAACAAGTCATATTTGAAATTCATTATGAAATCAGTAGAATAGAAATAAAAACAGTCTTTTGGCATTAGTGTCACTCAAGTTAAATATATTTTTTTTAAATTCAGATAAAACTTTTGTAATGTGGACATCATCGGGACCAACCAGGAGTGCTCAGTTTAAGAAGGTATTCATTAGTAGGAAGTTTTCAGATGCACCAGATCATCTTTTTCTTCGTTTCAACAATTTTTTATTCAAGGTTTTTAATCACAGGTAAATCAACATGTATCAGTGGCAGATCCACGGAATGCAATCGCATTTTTGTCTCATCCAAACTTCCCTTTCACTTATCCGCCCACCCACCCTCTCCATTCCACTTATCCGCACCTCCTTTCAGAAATATATGAATCTGCCACTGATATGTGTTGATATGATTTAATATTGCTAGCTGTTAACACAAAACCGCCGAGATATTGCACCAAGCACTGTTGTTGTTGTATAATATTGCTGTGTTTGTTTCAAATATGCACGATTAGTACGTATCCTTTTTCTGTGTCCCATAATTGTTTGTTATAGCGCAACAAATATGATATGTTTTTTTTTCTCGTCCTACATGTTTGTGAATGATAGAACATATGTTGCTTTCATTAAAATGGCTATTATTGCTAATGGGGTCAGAAATAAATGCCAACTGTCCAATAGAAGGAGATGTTCACATAGACAGATTTTACTGTACATCAAAACATCATGTTATTTAGATTCATTCGAATGACAGCAACGTCTAGGATTTATTTTTTGGGAAGCTTTATATAAATCTTCATTAAACATTTTGTCATCAGATAGAAAGAACTAGATTGATAGTAGATATCTCCCTGAGAGAGAAGGCGTGAACGACCGTTAGGACAGGCAGGCAGTTGAAGACAAGGGCTAACTCTTCAGAAGTATGCTTATTCTTTTTGTGATATTTCAAATGTATTATATGCTATCAATAGATGAATCCAGATAGATCGGATGGTTTAAATAAATCTCGGTAATGTCTCTTCTACATTTTAATAATAACATTGAACTTTGAAGAAGTTATTTTACCGATGGATCTTTAAATTTTGTAACTACTTTCCAAACACTATTTAATAACTGAAGATCAGATGGTGTCGATGCAGGTGGTGATAATAGAAGAGAAAGACCAAGAGAACGATAAAGTATACTCTAGAATAAAAACAACAAAACAAAAAGAAAAAGATATAATTTCCAAACAAAATTAAATTTTTTTAATAGTTTATTTACTTTTGGAAAATATTGTTCATCACATTCACTAATCATTTCAATATATTGTTGAACTTTTGAACGAACATGACTTGATGGAAGTGTATTTAAAAGTGCATTTAATATAACACCACCACTAATAGACAGAAAATAAATTTCTAGATAATGACATACTAGATCGAATTATTCAAAACATTTCTATTTCACTACAAAATAAATTGAGATATATACAGAAGTCACGAATGTAGAGATATGTACATCTTCCGAATAATTGAAAAATATTCTTTATTACCTAGCAAAACTACTGAGATATTTTGAATTTGTTACTATCTCTATGAGACATTTTCTTAAACACTCCTCCTTGCTAATCTTGAGATCCTCTCATATAAATTTTTCATTCTCACCTTAACATATTAAGTTCTGATCGTGTTTTAATAATCATTTTTTCCATTTTATTATCATCCAACTTATGTAACAAACATTGAACAATCCAATCTAATGCTGGTGAATAAAGTGATAAATAAATACTAGTTGTTAATTTTTGTGATTGATACATATTTTTAACAGTTGTTGTGCTTATTTGATGAAATGAATGGCATAAATCTGTAAAAGCTATTTCAATAGGTTCACGATATTTAAAATCAATATCAATTGTAACCTTTAAAATATAACGAAAAAATTTTTATTGCTTAATTATATAAAAGAGAAAATTATTAATTTAATTTACTCGACAAATATAACAACGAGTATATGCAGCTACTAATGGATCTCCAATTCCACGACACATTTTAACTAATTGTACAAGAGCTGATCGATAATGACTAAAAGACAAAAAAAAAAAACGATAATTAATTATTTTCTTTTATAAAGAAAATTTTTTTTTTCTTTATACGTTGCAGATAAAAAATTATAACATTTAAGAATAGCTGCTTCAATAAGTATACGTGGTAATAATTCACGAATAATAGCTATTTTATAAAACCAATTACGAGCTGTTTCACGTGTAGTTTCTGGAATAAGATCAGGTACAACACGATCAGCTATAAGTAGGAAAAAAATTGTCATTTTAATAAAGAAGTATTATAATTATTTATTTACGTATTTTTCCAGTTGACGATGCACTTTTTTCTAATAAACGTGCGTAAACTAATTTTCCTAAATAAATATTAAATGATAATATTTCGAACTATAATTCTAAACAATCCTTACCAAAAGTATCTATTACATCTGTAATTAAACAAAATTTACTTGGATAAAATTCCATAACATTCATATCAGCTAATAATTTAGAACACTAATAGAATAATAACAAAAATTAAAGTTGAAAATTTTCAATCTCTAATGAAAAGATCTTGACAAAAAACATTCACTCATGTTGTGACCAACTTAAGACAGTTGGTTAGAGTCAGAAGCAATTAGTTAGAATCAGATCCTTTCGAATAAGTATTTAAAATTTCCTTCTAGGGTAGGATTCGACCGGCCTTGTTCATATTTTCTAGAAAAACCGAAGTTAAAAATCCAAAATTTCTCTGAGGAAGTGCTAGAAATGGTAACTAAGAGAGAGAAACGAAATCTACGATGACCAGACTCCTCTCACAACAGACGACCTACTCGTCCCGCTCTGATTCGATTCACCTCGTAACAAGCGAATATTTTTGTGTCAAGATTTTCGCGTCATAGATTACTTGTATAGCAATTTTTAATGTTTTAACACGTTGGTCATTTTTCCATGCTTGACTCATATCTTTACTCATCTCATTAATACGATTTATATATTCTTGTTGTGTTAAAGTTTGTGTTTGTTGTCCACCCTTAAAGACAATATTTTTTAAAAAATATTTCGAAAAAAAAAACCCAATAATTTTACTTCGAATGCATCTAATTGTTCAAGACGACTTTTAATTCTTTCCGATGTTGTTGTCATATCTGTTACTAAAAAATAAACAAATTATTCGAATAAAATATTTATTTTCTTTTATCTTTTACATACTTTTAGTATTATCAATGATCGAATCATCATTAGTATTATTCATAGCTGTTGTCATACTAATTTTTTTTGTTGTTATGTATTGATTTAAAATAAGACCTTTTTTACTTGACCATGGTTCAAATGTATCTGTTATTGTTGATAAATATTTATCAGTTGACTCGGTTTTTGATGTTATTGCAGCTGCTAATGCACGTGATAATGGATCAATTTCAGCCTGAGTTGTTTTCAATGAAAGAGGATCAACTATTGGAGATGATGATGATGTTATTGTTTGTGGTTTATTTGTCTAAAAATTTTAACAAAAAAATTTTGTATATATTTCATTTTTTTTATACATACAACAATAACACCAAGAGGATGAGATGTTGTAACATTTGTAGTTTTGTTCAACTGTTTATATTCGGATATATAATCACGTTTTTTTGGTGTCCATTTTGTTGAAATCGAAGTCATTTTGATTAAAATCAAATAGTTCTGTTCTATGTCGGTTAGATAGAATTCTTATCAGAACAGAATATATGACTCATTGCGATCTGAAAATTATTGGTTTCAATTTTTTTCATGGTATTATCAAAGTTTTTTTTATCTATTGAAAGAAAAAGAAGGGAAGATTATAGAATTTTCATAGAACTATTATACTTTATTGTTTAAGAAGAATAATAATGGATTCTAGCGTCATCTGTTCAATGATCGATATTACATTTTTCAATCGAACTGAAATGACTTTACAATCATTTGATTGTTAAATTAAATAAATAATATAATTCAAATTATATGGTCCACTGAAAATAATAATGTTAATTATTCCTTCTAATTATATGAATTTGATAAAAGTCATCGTCTAATCAAGCATATTTATTGAAAGAAAGGTACTGATAATCGAAGATAACTATAAATGTATCAGCCAAATGAATCTATTTCAAATAAACACACAATAAGAATCATTTGAACGTTTTCAATTCGATTGAGATAATTTTTCTATCAAAAAATAATGATTAACGTTTTATTCATTGTTTTTTTTGAGCTTTAGAAATGTGTTACTCATATATGAAATGTAATAAATGCTCAAGTAGATTGAAAAACCTATTATTCTGACTCATCTATTTATCATACAGTAAAAAAATGTCCTTAATGATACTCTAGTAGACTCTATCATCTTGAAAACGTGCTGCATTAGGAGGCATGTCATCGTATATTCCCCAAGTATTCATCCATCAATTTGCTTTACAAGACCGTAACTATAAATAATCGACTCGATTGATCAGATTGAATTTATACATTTTCGTATTTTTTATTTTTCAGTTTATTGTTCAATCAATCACTGTTCTAGAATTTGTTAATAGATCGAATTATTTTGAAACGTTTTGATCAAGATCAAAGCGATTCAAAACATCGACATTTGTGAGATCTCATCATAGTGCATTCCAAAAAAAATAGATATTACTTAGTTGAATTATATTTAAACAAATACAATTTTTATTCCTTTTTTTTCCGAGGAAATAACACGCACGATAAAGAGTAAATTGAAATATTATTTCGTCAGAATATGTCACATGCACCACCTTATGTTGCAAATTAATGTTTCGTACAATGTATCATAAAGTAGGACACATTTTATGTTCGAATAAAACATAATTTGTATATCTCGATAGTTAATAAACTTGAAGAGATATAAGAGAATGTTTTATTCAATCTCAAATAGTTCTTTTTTTGTAATAAATTTTTTGTTCTCAATGAGTTTTCATTTAATAAATAAGAATTATTAATTTAGTCTTGTTCATTGAAAGATCAATGAATTCAAGTTCATACTGCATAATATATTTTATTTATTTATTTAGTTTTTTACTATATAATTTTCATTGTATCATTTATTTATTTCGAAATTATTTTTATGGTTTATTCTTGTCATTTTTTTGACTAATTAATATATGATGATTGACATCCTTGAAAGTATGTAGAATCTCAACACATGGCACAGCAAGAATAAATATAGTACTATTTAAATATAATGAATCGTTGATTTTTCTGTAACATAAATAAAATTTTGATATCCTTTGATTTCTTTAAAAAAAAGATTTTTTTGATGATAATTAATATTAAACAGAAAGTACTTAAAGTTTCAAATACGATAATAAAATAACAATTTTTACCAAACACAGAAAATCTCTGCTTACTTTTGGTGAATATTATTGAAATCACATGAATTTATGAGGGTAGGCAAACTACGTAGTAAGTTATCAAGATTCTTTTCATGCAAACAAACAAGTGCGACAAAAAAAAACCATATTGTATTTTTCGTAATGACTAGCTTTCACACAATAGTAAATGCGTAATAAAAGAAAAATGTTAACCCCAAACAGTACTTAGCAAATAATGAGTCATTCTTAACAAAGTAGGATGATTTCCGCATGTATCTTTTTTATTTTGTCCTTGTAATATTCAATTAATTTTTTTAAAATATTGACATCAAAATCAATGATTAAAATAAAACAACAAATCGATCTTTGCCATTTGCATATTAAATTTTTAATAAAAACAAACAGAAAACGAAAAAAATAACAAGAAAATATCAATCGTTTGATTTAATTTTCTCCAGGGCTTGACTATTGTTTGTCAAACAAATGCATCTCTGAACTATTCAATCTATAATTTTAAATTAATGTTTTTTTTCCCTCGTTGGCACACATTATTATTTTGAATGCAATGTACTTGAACATCTTTTTTTTACGAGAGATTATTTGCGTCATTGAATTACTAGCATGCATGAAAGTTCCAAAGATCACTTTTTTTTTTGCGTTCTATTTGTTGACTTAGGTACTTTTTGATCACGCACACATCAGTCGTAGAGAAAGAAAAAGAATGATAGTGTTGCATCTAGATCGTCCAAAACATCAATAGATTCAATATCAGCTAATAAAAACTTATTCGAGTTATTTACTAGTTAAAACATATCATAACTAGTTTTGATCATTAAAAGAATATTTATGTTTTTGTGTATCATTGATTTGAATGATAAATAATACATTATTATTTTTTTTCTATTTTTTTTCTACAACTGATGATAAAAGAAAACGAATGATTAGTCGCATATGTGAAAGCTTCTCATACACCTTCTCATTTTGTACTTTATTTCGTATCTATGACTCGGAAGACTAGCCTTATTATCTACATATAAATACTATTTTGGTATATTCGTAATAAAAAAAAAAAAAAACAACGACGCACAATATTGAACCTCGCTCTACGCGTGCTCTGTTCTTAGGAAATATGCTGATCACGCATGTAACTAATGATGTTGCTTACTTTTCTTCAACAAGGACGACGCAGAAAAAAGAAAATGTAACAAAAAAACATGCAGTTGCAGCGTGATAGCATCAGCCGACGTTCTCTCTCCTCCTCCCTCCTTATCCGTCGTATAAATATTGAGTGCAAAATTATTTTGCAAATCTTATTTGACGTTGATTATTCGGAATCTAACCACACCAAAACAAACAAGCATTTGAAAATTCGTCATATATTCTCATAAGCCAAGAAAAGGTAAAAGGATTTATAACAGCTGTAATTGTAAGAGATATGATCCAAAAAGGTGTGTTAAATACACTCCCTTCTTAACAAAAAAAAATTCATATAAGTGTATATCTATAAAACTACAAATAAACTGAACTTTGAACCAACTATAAATTGTACCTATTTGTTTCGTCGTCTTTCGACCTTCAAACCAACCAATAGAAAATTGAGTTTGTCGCTGATCATTCCGTCCAAAGTTCTCCTAGTTTTTTGTACAATAAGAAAACGAACTTAAGTACAAAGTTTGTTATCGTATGGATCATATTGTCAACGCATGTCATCATCTGTTGGTAACATCGATCATATGATTCTGTTGAGTTTCACCACCAATCGTCTTTCTTTTTTTTCTCATCGAATGTGCATGACGGTAGTAGAAAGAAGGAGAAAGAAAGGACAAGTTAATGCATGTAATGCGCGTGATAGGAGATGCTTTTATTTTTTTCTCGAATAATGTTTCCTATGTGAATGAAACAGAAAGCCAAGCTGAAAGAGAAAAAATCAAAAGAGCGAGAGAAAGAGAAGGAGAGAGAGGGAGAGAAGAAAGAGGGAGAGAGAGAGAAAAATAGATTTACTATACAATAAATACCAGGCTCCATTTGAAAATTACAAACGAGTGCAAAAAAACTTTGGTACATATTGTCATCGTCAATTTAGACTACTACATTTACTATTTGAAAATGCCAGCAATTGATTCAAACGATATTTACTATCCAGTATCATGGATTAAAGTAACAACTGATCTTCTATTAAATTTATTCAATAGTCCTCAAAAGACTAAACGTTCTCTACCCGAAGAAGCCGAATGCGGTTCATTGGAAGGTATTAAATGCTGGATTCGTGAAGGTAATATTTTTGAAACATCATATAAATATTTATCTTGATTTTGTTTGTTGTTTTTCTTTCTCATAGGTGCCGATATTGATGCATCTGATGCATATGGTTATACACCATTAATTAATGCTGCAATGCTTGGTCGAGCTGATATTGTTAAAGTATTAATTGATGCTGGAGCTGATATACAAAGACCAGGCCAATTTGGTTATACAGCTTTACATGCTGCGGCTCAAAATGGTCATTTAGAAGTTGTTCAAACACTTGTTAAATATGGAGCAAGTGTTAATTGTAAAAATGATGATGGAGATATTCCACTTATACTTGGTAAGATTTTTCGAACGCAAAAAAAAAGCGACAAAATAATTTTATTTTCGTATTTTTTTTTTTTACAGCTGTTCGTGGTACACATGCAGAAATTATTGATTATCTACTTAAAGCCGGTTCGGATATACATCAAAATGGCTGGCTTGGACAATCAGCAGTTCATACAGCTAGTAAGTTTTTTAATTTATTTTATTGTTTTATATATTTAAATCTTTTATTATTTCATAGTTGCTACTGGTGATCAAGCAACAGCTGATACATTATTAAATCGTGAAATGATGATTGGATGTTCATCTTCAGAATCACATCGTCATGCACGTGAACATCTTCGACAATCATCAATGTCAATAGATGATTGAATCTTATGAATTATTTTTACCTGATCCTTTCAATTAGCCTTAGAAAACCAAAAAACTGGAAAGTACAGATCGGCTAGCCAGTGTGTTCATAATGCTTTTTTAATTTACGCATCAGTCAAAGACCCTTGACTCCAGCAATCTCTTCTCAGTTTTTACCTCTCATCTCATAGCGAACAGTGCTGATTGTTGTCTCATCAGGTACTTGAGAAATGTGTCTTGTTTTTTTTTTCATTTCTTTTCTCTTTTGTATGTACATAAGAATGACAGAGGTTACTGTTGTTGTTTGTTGTTCTCTTTGTTAGTCTTTTTTTTTCTTCTCTTACCTACGCTCTAGCATGTGTTTTAGTTTGTCGGTTGTACATAATACTTTCTTTTTTTTTTTCATCATGAAGCGACTTAAACATGTTGGATAATCACGTTTATCTATATATTAAAAAGGATAGACAACAAAAGTAATTGAATAGTTTTATTGATGAGTTTTCAATTCCAATAATTCATTATTTTTGTTTGTTTTTGTGGAATAATTTTACATTAGGAATTATTCAATGTGTTTGGAAAATTATATCATTATTAGTACTAGAAGGAAATAAAGATGAAATAATATAATTTGTAAAATCTTTAGTATATTTTAGTTACAATAATATTTATCATTAAAATGCATAAATGTGTTAGATATTAAATTTTTTTTTCAATGTATTTTTCTAAAATTTTCTCATAACTTTCAACAAATCTCGATAGTCCTTTGATCAAACATTTGACTCATGTTATTCTTCTATTATAGCATGGATCTGAGACATTAACACACTCCATTTATTTTCATAACATTTATTTCGAGGACAAAAGAAAAAAAAATCGATGATAACGAACAGACGGACGACATACATAAATTAGAACAAAAACACAAAGAAAAAGAAAAATATATGTATATATATAAATATGTATATTATTTTTATTTGAGTATGTTTTCTTCAAAAATCAAAAAGAATTTGTTTGTTTAGAACAATATAAGTAGCAGATCATAAATATGAATTGGTTTCTGTTTTTTTTTCTTTTATAAATTTAGTACCAAGTAAAAACATCTGCAGTTTGTCCATGTTGATTTGCACGATTTTTAACTGCTATATATGATATTAAACCACGAACAAATAGAAAAAAACCAGCAAATAAAACAATAGCAAAGACAAAGTTTTGTGCTGGATCATGAACTGTTGTTCGATGATATGTTGTTGACATATTACCTGATCCAATATATGATGAATTATTAAATTCATGATAACGCATAACTGTTATCCATTTAGCTACACTTAAACCAAAACCAGACATTGCACCAAAACGTGCTGCTATTGTTGGTATAAGACAAACAACAGCAAGAAAACCAAGCCAATTGAAAAAGAATGCAATAACACTTTTAAAATAGAAATAATAAAAATAATTAAGAAAAAAAAAATGAATTAACTCACAAAGCCATTAAAAATGTACAATCAGTACCAATATCCATATTTGAACCAGATGAAAGCCAAGCAGCAATAGCTGCTTGATTATGTTGTCGGGATGACTAGAAATATATTACGAAAACAAAAAGAATAGAATAGAAAATTTTGAATACAAATGTGCTTTTTTTTACTTGTTCAGTACTATGATTACTGTTCGTATTAAGATCAATGATTTCTACAGGTGTTGGATGTGGATAATGTGGCAAATGATCCATATTATGAATTTTAGTTGGATCAACAAGACAATATGGTGGTGGTGGTTCAATAATTCCAGCTGCTGCAACAATATTATCTTGTTCAGTATCATTTCGATTACTGTTTGATGCCGGAGTTACTTCATATGCTGGTGGTGGTCCATCTATTTCAAAAATAAATACAATAGAAATCGTTCATTATTAAGATATTTTGTTTTCTTTTGGTAAAGAGTTTCAAAACTTTTTTCTATAGTTTTTCAAATATGTATCTCAAGTAAGCGTCCATCGGTTTCGTTCTTGACTCAATCCAACATGCTATATTCTAATAGTAACAGCCAACAAGTAAATAATTACTACAAAATACATTAAAATTTTATTTCAAGTTTTCACTTTGCACTCTCCATTGTTATCAGGAATCAATAGCAACAAAAGATACGAGAGAGGGAATTATTACGTAAGTGTATATAGGTACAACTGACTTCTTTTAACAAAGTTAATGTACTTGGCTACATACTTTGTATTTTTTTTTCTTTATCCAAGGGCATCTTATCAAAGACGTCAATTGTATGTATATATATATATATATATATACAGACATGTAATAGTTCTTCCTCGTTGTTTTTGTCGTTATTATTTACTGATGATGACAAGAGTATACAATCTTAGGACTTTCCAAAAATGTCTACTGTATGGAGGCGAGCTATATTCTAAAAGTAATTTCTTAAGTATCTGAAGGGTGTTAGTAAATAAAAACAATTTAATTATTGATCTTTATTGCTTGTCTTTTCATGGATGTTTGTTCCTTGAAAAAATTAATAATTGTTAAAATTGTCCTAGATATCACACTGACTTTTCAATAGTATTCATCATTCAATTCTATGGCGGTGTTCACTATGGGAGATTTTACTGTATTTTGTGGCAATTATATATTCAATTCATTACTCATTAATTTCTACTACTCTTCGTGTTGGATTTATGATTAGTAACAGCTAATTATGACTTGATTATTTGAAAATTGTCTAAGATATATTAATAACAGAATTCAGAGCAAGTATTTGATGTCGAATAAAACATTTCATTGCAATTAGAAGCACAAAGGTCAATAATTCTGATCTTCGGAAACACTGAAAATCGACAGAATATGGAAGTAGTAGTATTCAGAATCGAAGAAGCTTGAGAATTTTCCCGATGACTTCTAATTGTTTCCTGTCGGAAATAAATAGAACGCTGATTAGAAATCACAGGAAAGAGTTCAAAGGCTTTCCCTCCAGAATTGACCAGTATGCATTCACTTGAGTAGATCAAAAAAATGTTGAATCCTACGATGTCTACTTTCATAATCAATAGAAACAGTTAATAATTACAAAGTAACATGAAGAACACATCGATAATCCATAATGTGGCATAGTTTGTGAAAGTATGTTTAATCAACTTATATCTTACCCACTGGAGTTGCTTGTATTGTTGCAGGTGCTTCAGTTACCTCATGAATTGGTGCCGTAGTTATTGTCGATTGTTCGACTACAACTGTTCCGTGATTCGCACTGTTATTATTCATAATATGTATATCGTGAAATGCAAAAAAGAAAATGATCTAAAATTAAATCATGAATTATAATATTTATATATGTTTAAAAAAAAACCAGAATCGAAAACATCTTATTAATTTTCTTATTATCTCGTAGTATTATTATTTTTTTTGTTTCAATATCGGAGGAGATCTTTTTAGAAAAATAGTGTATACATATATAAAGCAAAGCAACCGAGAAAAAAAAAATGTTTTTATAGAATAAGAATCGCAAGAAATAAAGTCAGTAGATTAAAATAACAAAAAACAAAATGGACAAAACACAATCTGATTGCAACAATTAAGTAAAACGAAAGATATTACTTATACAAAAAAAAAAAAAAACGGAAGAAAAAGAAAAACATTGACCTGAATGTAAACTCGAATGAACAAGAAAACAACAACAATAAAAATAAGACTCACTGTATTCACAAAATAAAAATATTCATATATATTACTTATGTGTTGTTGTTGTTGTTCCATTAGCATTCGTTGTATTTGAAATAAAGGAATTTGAACTATTTGAATGTTGTAAACTGATCATTGAAGCACGATTATTATATTGAGAATTTCTACTTAACATTTGTTTATCATGTGGAGATAATTGAACAGCTGTATTAGCAGCAAAAAAATGTATATCTTGCATTGTGTCAGTTAAATCAGCAATATTAATACCTAATTTTGTTATTTCATTTTCTAATTGTAATAATTCAGCTCGTTGTTTTTCTGCAAGTATTGAAATTTGTCGAGTACGATCTTCATTATATTCAGCTAATTCACGTTGCATCTAAAACAAATTTATTTGTAAATAATTTATAAATATTTTAATTAAATTCAACTAAGATGAATTCATAAAATCCTTTATCATTCTTTTTAAAAACTTATCGAAAAGATTTTAAATCATTTTTTTGAAATCTATCTTAGCATGTTGATTAATTCATATGCCTACAGTAAATATTCGTATGAATTGCTGGAACTAATGATACTAAGATAAACATAATTAATGTTACGAGCTTTTATGTTTATTTAAAACAGAAAAAAAAAAAATCTCGAACATTCACATTTGATGTTGTCCTTGAACGTTGTTAAGCATTTTCATTCAAGCAAATTAATCTATTCCGCTTTCTCTTGAAAAATTGTCCGGTGTGTTCTCCACGGTTGGTCGTAGAAAGATCAAAAGGAATAATAATGTAAAAAGTTAAATCTTCAGGATCGATGTAGATTAAGAAAAGACTAGAATCTACACCCACATCTCTTATGTCAACAATTAAGAATAGTTTGTTCGTTGAAATTTCCGATATTTTTTCTTTCAGTTTTTTTTATTAGCACATCTTCTGTGCTCTTGACAAGCGGAAAATATATAAGAACTTCAAATTATTAATACTAACATGATCGTATTTAAGATTACTATTTATTGTTCACATGAAGTCGTTATTAGATTATCAGGAACATTTGAAAACTTGATTACAAGATGCATTAACAAAAATTAAGCTAATTTGAAGTATATTATCTCAGTCGTTTTTCATGGTCATTCTCTTATTTCAATGAGCTTGAAGTCATGCATCACTACTCAATCATCACATATAATTAGACCTACTCAATTGTATGAGTAACAACTGTATATGATTGACTGATATTATCAATATACTTTACTAAACGTCTGTAAGGCATACGTAAAAGGCCATAGTTCGATTGATTTTGACAAATGTATACCATTAAAACGAATCTCAATGAGCTCGGACAAACGCTTACATGCACTTCGGGATGATATATTCACATAAATAATAATTTAGAATAACCTGCGGATATTATTAGTATAGTCTATCACTCTTCATTAGAGCATATCCAGGAGATGAGAGTGGTTTCATCTGATATCGCGTACTTCAAAAAGTTTGATGAAACTGATTAGAGTTCGCGCGAACTGCATGTGATCGTCTAAAGATTAATTTTTGATACTAATCTAATTAAAGTAGAGTGTTTTAAAATGCATAACACGTAACTTTAAGATTATTAGAAACTAATGCATTTAATTAAGCTCGAAAACATCTTGTGTTATTTTGTTATAAATTTTCTTAATTCAATTATTGTCTTAAAATTTCAAACTACGAAAATACCTGTTCATTAAGTTTTCTTAAACGATCTTCAATATTTCGTTCTAATTGTCGTCTTTCATCAGAATGTTGTTGTTCCATTCGACGATAACTTTCTTCTTGTAAATGAAGTAAAGTACGCTGATCTTCATCAACTACTGTTTTCAATGAATTACGTTCACGTTCTTGATCAGAATTAAGTTTTATCTTGAAAACCAAAACAATTAATATATAAATGTTTTTTTTTATTGAATTTTTTTTTCTTACATTTTGTTGATCAAGCATTTTTTGTACAGCTTCTTCAAAACGTAAATAAAGCATATCAAATTTTCTTCGTTGTTCATCTTTAATAGTTTTTAATTTTGAATCAAGTTCTTCACGTGATTGACTTGATGTTGCATGAAGATAATCTTGACGTATTTTTTCTTTTAATGCTTTATATTGTTGAGACTGAGCATTATATGCTTCTTTATATTGACGTTTTATTTCAGCTTGTTTGATCTGGAAAAGAAAAAAGATTTTCTATAGAAATGTTTTTTTTTTTCTTTTACTTTAATATTTTTTGGAAATTGTTTTTGATTTAATGCGTGTCGTTTAATCAATTCTTTTTGACGACGATTATTATATTCATTAAAATTCATTATTTCTGTTTGATGTTGTTTATGAGTAAAATCATTTCGCATTCTAAAACAATATAGAATAAACTCATCATTTTATTAATTAATTAGAAGAAAGCTGAACATTCGTAACATGTAGTGCATAAAAAATTGTTGCATGATACTTTTATATATGAATACGTTATGTTAATTTAATTTAGATAGTTTATAAATCGGAATTAAATTATTTAAGAAAAAGAAAATTTACATCTTCCAATTTGACTTTCCCTATTTTGAATAGCAGTGTGTAGAATTTAAGAAGCTAAAGTTTTTTTTTTTTTATGGACTGTATCTATAAAGTTAATCATGGAGAGTAGTCAATCGAGAATGTTGTGTATCAATATCGATTTTTGATATTGATATAAACGATTAAAGATTAAATAACCAAAAAAGAATATGATTCCATAAACAACAGAAAGCTAATATTTTGATGACGTCGCCATACGAGAAGAATTCTAGATATCTATGAAAAAACATAATTTGAAAATTTTGGACCTGATGGATATTCAAAATTCACAAGTGCGACGGGTCATTTTGAATTGGATAAATATCAAATATGTTGGGCTTGATGAAATTAAAGGATTCCTATGCATACGCTGTCTTTCTCGGATTAGGAATCTTTAACTTGAAACTTTATTCGTAGATAAATTTTATGCTGAATTGACATTCCTAAAAATTTCAGCTAAAAAAAAATCCTATTTTCATAAGATGTCGAGTCACAAGATAATCGAAATTTAGGCATTTTGTTTTGTGATATATATAATCGTTTTTCGAATAGCTATTATCTTACGAACAGTACATTTTTTATAGCTGAAATTTTCAAGAATGTCCATTTTGTATTAGCTTTATCTATAGGCGAAAATTCCAAGACAAAAATCCTCTATTTCCATTCTTTTTTACGTATACTCACTCACGATCATATTTTTCCGTAGAGTTCTGCTATTCTTAACAAGCTTTAAAAATCTGATATATACATATATCCAATTTAAGACAGCGTGTCAACATCTGAGAACCTTCTCTGGTAAAACCTTGATATAAGATATTATTCAAAAATAAATAAATAATTTTAAGGAATGTATTTATTGCGCTAGAGTATTATTTGAACTCTAGTGAATCTTTTCCTGCAAGACAAATATGTTATTAAAAATAATATTTAAGTCATGAGCGATGAAAAACGTACATATACGTTTTAAGTTTTTGCGCAGATTCCAACTTGTACGATCATGTATTTTCTGTTTTCGTTAAACTTTTATTATCACACAGCTTCATCGTATGATACATTTATGCATATACATCCAAAGGCGGTAAGAAATTTAAAATCTGGAATGATTCGAGAATCTATGAAATCTCTATACTTAAAATCTTTTAAAACAACATAAAGTCAAGCAAAATTCCATAATATCCTGTGTGAATCTCAGAACCATTATTATTCAATGGAACTGTTGTTAGTACTAAAGTTCTAATGCTACAAATCATCAAATATTAGTTTATGAGATTTGTATTATGATATATGATTTCAAAATTCTCTATGGAATCATCTTCGGTCATTGTGTTTGACTGTGCAATTCTAGAATCTTATGGAATCATCTTCGCCATTGTGTTTGACTGTGCAATTCTAGAATCTTATGAAATCCACTATTTCTCTTAGTCTTAAGGTTCCATTTCAGGCTTTTATAGAAACAAAAATAAACATAATTATTTCATCTCTTCAAAAACACCGTCGCATTAACATAGAAACCAACATATTCTATGTCATGTCGAATAAAAAATCCGATCGATCTATCTAATTCTATTAATTTATAATTACTTATGCAAATTAGCTAATTGTCGAAGTTCAACTTCTTTTGTTTGTTCATGATGTTTTTTAAGTAATCCATGCCGTTGTACAATTATGTCCATACTTTTTGTACATTTCTAAAAAAAGCAAAATCATATATTTTTTTGTTTTGTTTGTCAATGATTGAAACAAACTTCTTCAAATAAATTTCTTTCAAGAGTATGTAATAATAATAATTTTTGTTGTTTTGTTTGTAATCGTCTAATTGTATAATTATTTGATAATTGTGTTCGTAATTTGTCTTCATCATTACGAAATTTGAATTGTAAATCATCTTTTAATCGACGAATTTCATCTTCTTTTTCATTTTTTGTTAATATTGTTGTACTTAATATTTGCTTAAACAAAAAAAAAATTAAAAACAAAATTCATATTTTAATTTTTAATTTTTACTTTTTTAGATTCATCTTTTTTTATTTTATATTGTTTTGTTTGTTCTTGATGAAAACGTTTAAGTTCATTTTCTAAATCTTCATCTTGTTGACGTTCTATGTTTTTCATATTATTTTGATTATATTTAACTCGATCAGCTAATTCTTTACGATGTTTTTCTAATAAACGATTATTATCTAAATTAACTTGTTCTTGAAATAAATTATATTCACGTTCAAGTTTTGAACGTAATTCAATTTTTTCATTACGGCATCGTTCTTCAAACTAATATTTACAAAGAAAAAAAAAAAAAAAAAAGAAAAATAATAATTTAAAGAATAACATAAAGAGAAATAAACCTGTTTAAGTTGTTTTTGATGTTGATGTCTCATTTGTTTATAACCACGGAATTGTTCAAGTTGTTGATCATCTTGATCATGTTCACGTTGTTCACGTATAACAATACGTGACGTTTTTATTGTAGAAAATTCATTAATAGATTGATGATTATGACGTGCTGATGAAGGATCAGAGATTTTTGACTGAAATTTATTTGAAATCAATTATTAAAAATTTTAAATAAGAAAATAATTAAAATATTTTTTTTTCCAGCTGTCTAAGAGTGCTATTTAAAGTTCATTGAAATCGATCCGACAGATTCTATGTTAAAAGCTAATTATAAATTGATTATGATAAGATTGCCGGAAAAACTATTTGTGCCATATAAGAAATAGAAAAAAAAAAAAGGATATTATATGTTCGGAATGACTATCAGATTCGGATTAGAATAACTTGATTTTGAGTATTAATAGTACGATTTAGACTCATCGAACTCTAAGGAGATTAGATCTAATTAGCAAATAGAGTGTCGAGTTCGAATATTTTTGTTTGGTTTAAGAAGAAACAAGTTATTGAGAAAATCAGAAGATAAGTTGAATGCAACTTACCTTCTGCACGAAAGATTAATATGAATTTATTTTTCTTCTACATTAGAGTCTATTGAATGGATCGTGGACTTTGACCTGTTCAAATCTGGATATGAAAGTATTCTATTGGCTGAGTCCGGAACCTGACCAATGGGTTTTACACTAATCGTACGGTTCCCGATTGAACATTTTCACATCGTGGTAAACGCATGAAAAGTTTTCTCACTATATTTTTGATACATAGCATGCGTAAAAAATTTTTTCTCAGTTGCAAAACTCAATCTTTCACAATAAAAATAGCTGATTTTGACGCTTTTCTGAATGATTATGACAACACTCAAACGTGAATCGTGATTTGAGTGTTCTAAACCCCTTTAAACTTCATCTTGGGTCATGTACATTCAAATCGCATGAAAGTTTCAATCGTATATCATGACGTTTTCAGGGTATGTTCAAAAAAAAAAAACAAGGGTGAAAAATAGCTCATTTATTCTCTGTGATGTTTATTTTTTTGTTTAATTTCCAACATCCTAAGGAGAGAAAAGGTCAATGTCTTGAAAAAAGAATGCTCTAATTATAAAACTACTCTTTTATACAATATTAACAAAGCTTAATTCAAAACAAGCCCTGACATGTTATTTCAGAACAAAACAAAAAAATACAAAAATAAAATATAGATGAAATGAACCCTGGGTTGCGCAATGATATGTCAAATAAAAATATCTTACATTATTTCTCATTTGTACATTTGATTCATTATTATTACTTTGTAATGATGATGATTGATTAATATTTGATGCTGAAGTTGTATCAGCACCTGAAAAACATCTATTAACATTATTAATATTAGCTGGCATTCCTGCATAAATTGGATTATTTATTGGTTGAGATATTGTTGATATGGGTTTTGTTAGAACGACACCTTTAAATATAGCTGATGGTGGTTGTTGAAGACTTGAACGACTTGAATTTAAACTTTCATCATCATCATTCGGTTGCATACCATTACTTCGAGATAGAAAATCTACACTTTGTGTATCATCATCATCATCTAATGTAGGATCATCCTAAATATTAATAATAATTAAATAGAAAAATTTTGAAAAAACAAATATTTCTTCTTACTAAAATATCATTTTGTGTATTACTTGAACTATCAATATCAATATTAATAAAATCATTTGTGTGACTAATATGTGTATTTGATGTATTTTGTTCTTCATTTTCCATTAAAACTTTTTTCATTCGACGATAACGTATATTATCAAATTCTTTAACAGCTTCTTGTGTACGACGAATTAAATCGATTAATATTTCTCGATTACTATTACTTTTTATAAATGATGTCTAAAATAATCAAAATGAATTATTTTTCTTTTTCGATTTATATATTTACTTCACGAAGTTCATTAGCTGTTGGTCGATTATTTGGATTTTTTTGTAAACAAACTGCTATAAACGAAATAAAATCATTTGTATAGGAAGGATTCGTTGGTTGATTTTCATTTTTCATCATTAATGTTGGTGGATCATTTTGTGCTATATGATAAAGTGCTGACATTGGATTCATATTAAATAATGGTGGTTTACGTTCAGCTAAATAGTTTTTAAAAAATTTTAAAAATCTAATTCAAATAAAGACATACCAAGTTCAATACAAGTTATGCCAAGTGACCATATATCAACTTTTCCATCATATTGACCATTTTCCATAGCTAATATAACTTCCGGTGCTATCCAATAACTATCAAAAATAAACTTTTATTTTTATAGTATTAAATGAATAAATATGTTTCAATACATACGGTGTACCGACAAAACTATTTGCTGGACTTGTAAATGAAGCAGAACCAAAATCAGCTAAAGAATAAAAAAAACAAATCACACTCAATCTCACAGATGCAACATAATAGATGAGGGTCTCAGTTTTTTTTATAATAACTTAATACCTTTTCTTTGCATATAGATGCTATAGAGTGTTCTCTAATACAAATCTGAAAAGAATTTAGGTTCAAATGGTGATTTGAGTAAGCTATCGAATTCTTTTCTACGAGTCCGAGACTTTTGGGGAACTCAACTAAACTAATTTCCAGGAAAAAATTCAGATATTTTGAAGAAAATCTTTTCGAAATATATGCTCTTTTCCATGGATACAATATACATTTTCTGAAAGTTTTATATCTCGAACAAATTCTGTTTAAAACTTCTAAATTTTTCTATATAAGTTAGTCTAGTGGAGTTCTCTATAAACATAAAGCTTCAGATGAAAATACGAATTTTCGAGAAAAAAATCTGATTGCTTAGTCAAATCTGAATAGGAGCCTAAACTGTTTTACGGCTTTTATTAAAATACTATATAGTATTTGTGGAGAAAAAAATGTTATTGAAATCAGAATAGAACATTCGAGAAGATTGCCTCATTAGTTGTCTTGTATGTCAAAAGAACTATGACCGTATATTTTTCATAAAAAAAATATTTATTTTGACATACTGAGAACAGAGGTTAAGATATTGAGATTGTTCTTTATTCTGCTATATTAGTTATTTCTAATAGATTTGAATTACCTAATTTGACAATAGCATCTTCAGTTAATAAAATATTTCCTGCTTTTATATCACGATGTATTCGATGCATTGAGTGAAGATAATCAAGTGCAGATAATGTATCACATACAATTGTAGCTATTTCCCCTTCAGTTAAAGGTTTTTTATGAACTAAATTTAATTAAAAGAAAAAATATATATATATAGATGATTTCAAATTATTATTTTTTTTGCTTTTTTGTGTAACCTTCAATAAGATCTGCTGCTGAGCCAAGACAATATTCCATAACAAGCCATGTTGTGTATTCTTTTAAATAACATCCACGATAAGCTATACAATGACGATGATTTAGTTCACGTAAAAAACGAATTTCATTTAAAATATCTTGCCATGTCTAAAACCGATATTAAATTTCAAGAAAAAAACCTTTATTTTTTTTTTATAATTTTAAAAACAAACTTCAACATTTTGTTTTTTTCCAGCTGACATTTTTTTAATAGCAACAATTTCATTTGTTTCCGAATTTCGACCCTAAATAATAATTTTTTCTAAAATAAAGATTTGTTTGTTGTTCTATTGAAACTTACATAATAAACAGCTCCAAAATTTCCATGACCAATTTCTCGTAAATCAATAAATAATTTTTCTGGATCTTCTTTAGAAAATAAATTACCATATTCACTCTCGTTTTCTACAACGTCTTTAATTGAACGCGGAAGTGGCATTTTTTTTTCTTGCTTTCAATTATATTTGATGTTACGTGATTAAATACAAAACAAAAAATTATATCAAAAGATGAGGTTACATCTATGAAAAAAAAAACGAATAAACAAAAATCACGTCATGTAAAAGAAGTGAGTAATTCATTTATTCAATCGTTTCAGGTGACTGAATCGATCATCTTATCGCCATTTTTATGTTTAACAAACATTTATTTTTTTTCTCTTTTCTTCTTGATTTAGGTAATCAACCGAATACTAAGCAATAAGGAAATTATATTGCAATATACTATAGAGAGGACGCTACTCGACGGCAAATTAATTTATTTGAAGTTTATTAACAACTGATATATATTTATAATAAGAATTTCAATTAGAAACAATTGATTCAGGTTTTTAAATAACGGTTTAATATAAGTCAAACGAGGGTATCAAGATTGGTGGGTATAAAAGAAAATGTCCTATAGATGTAGTAAAAAGTTCTTGATAGTTTTATTAATTATTGGGGAAAGGAGATGTACACACCCCCTCCATTCTTGCGGCTTTCTGAGTATTAGATGTACATATTTAGTTAAATCTTATCTTACATAGACGATTTATTATATGAAGAATCGTCTTAAATTCAATGATGAATATTGATCGAAATTTTTGTTTAAAACAACATTAATCTATTTTAGTTTTTTATACTGAAAAATTTATTTTAAAAATTAATTATTAGACTTATTATATTGAAAATCAAATAATAAACGAAAGTGCGATTATCGAATATTGGTAAAATACGTTCTGACTCATTCTAAATTACGTTTTACTTGGAATATATACCAATCGATAGGACTTAAAATTCTGAGTATACTGGACCTATTCTAAGTCAAAATTTCAACAAAATAAATTTTTGTAAAATGAAGTCAAAATTAGCTCTGCTGTATATTTTGAAATGATTAGAATTATTAGGCATTTATCACAACTTCATAAAACGTTCTTTTTCCGAACATTTACTTGTTTGAGCTTTTGACACAACGTGGGATGTAGTAGACTTACAGTTTTAAGCTCTATCGACTAGTATAAGTTCGAAGTAAAACAGTGCTCAGAATGTATTTTACTTATCCCTACTGTTATTTAGAAGATAAATTTGTTCCAATTAATCAAAAGCATGATTTACTTTATGAATACTTGATTAAAATTAATTAATTTATGACATGAAGGTCTTTGTAAATCATGTTCGCTCTTTTTTCAGTCACTTAGAAGCAATCAATTAAAATCTAAATCTCCTTTCGATGTGGACTTGGTAAACAATGAGACAATGTTTCAAAGGATCCTAGATGATATTTGTACAATTCTTAAAGTTTTTAATTTATATTTTTTCGAGTAATTTTAACTCGGTCTTAAATGTCGAATATTAAATTGTCTACAAAATGTACTATCAGAATAAGTGAAACTTCACATTACTCAAAAGTTATGCATGTTTTACAAAGAACTATTTCCTATTTAAAATAACATTTGTCAAAAATCTGTTGTTTTCTCTAAATACCAAATAATTTTTATTTTTAAGTAAAAGATGAAACAGAGAAGCAATTCGAACATTATGTAGAAACAAATTTGTTCTACATAAGTAAACTATTGAAAAGTGTTTCAAATTTTGAATTAATTTTAGTCGAAATTCAAACTGATCAAAAAATAATATTTTGTTCAAAGATCATTTTATGTTTTTATAGAAATGTTTCGTATAGTTGATCAAGCTTACATGAGAAGAAAATTGTGATTCTAACTAATTTCTTCTGACTCTCAACTGTTCCTTGTAAGTGATCGAAACATGAATGAATATTATCTACTAAAATTTTCGTACTACAGGATACCTCAGAAGCAGTTGAACTGACTGATTCCATAAAAGAAATTGTTTTGTTTTTATACAGCCATCCTTCCAATAGTAACGAATTCTTGAAGTGTATAATTTTAATTCAATTTACGTAATTGTTTAGTCCATATAAATTGAATCATGCAAATGAAACATCATTAATAAACATTTTTCATATCGTTTTTTTGAAAACTGTGTGTACGCACGCATACAAATCCAAAAAGAAAAACAACTCAATAAGACTTGCACAAGAATAATAAACGAAAGTTGAATCAGAAAAACAAACCACACATGTTGTTGTTTTTTTTTATATTCGCTGTACAAGAGAAAAAGAATGAAATGGAAAAAAAAACAAAGCAAACAAGATTCAGATATTTCGATGGTCAAAACGAGCACAGATTTAATTCAACAGCATGTAAAGAAAAAAAAAATTCTTTTTTGTTTTTTTGTTTGTTTGATAACACAACATTAAAAGCACCGGAGAGAGAAATATATTTCAAAAAAAAAACAAAAAATAATCACGATTAATAATAAAGAAAAGAAAAACAAAAAGAAAAGAAAAGAAAAGAGGATTTTTGTTCATTATCAAATCACATTAGAGAACACCAACGATCATCGCCTGTCAATGGAAATTCATTAGCGACTTGCTTTTTTCCTTCCACATTCGGCATATAACAACGATGATCGAGGGATTCACGTTCATAAAATAATAAATAAGCTGATGATGAACATTGGTCAAGTATACTTTCAGAAACAGGCTAAAAAATTGAAAATAATTACTTCACAAAAAAAATTTTTTTTTTCTAAAGAAAATTATTACTTTGCATGAACTATCATTAAAACAATACCATTGTTGATTTGTATGATTTTTAACAAATGCTACATAATGACCACCACCAATAACTCCATAATGACACTGTTAATAAAGAAAAAGAAAATATATAGATTAAATAGATCATTATTTGATTTTGATTTCTTACAACAAGTGCATATAAATTATATGCAGCATTATCAGCATCAAAACTATTATCACCAAAACTAAGTGTACGATCTACCATTTGGCTAAATCTTGGTGGATATAAAGTACGTTGAGAATTTTCGATTTCAATTTTTTTACGTCGTCGTCCAAAACGTTTTTTTTTCTTTTTCTTTATTGTTTCATTTAATGTTTCAGGTGGTGGTAAACCTTTATGTTGTTCATTTGTTTGTTTTACATAATTATGATTACCATTAACTAAACGAGATGGTGATAATATAAGCATATTATCAACTGAAGACGATGAAATAGCATCAGGTGTTATTGTTGTTATTGATGATAATGATGATGATGATGATGTACTAATATTATCATCTGTAGGACGAAATTGTAATGATGATGAATTTGATGCAGATCGTTGAGCAAGATATTTTGATGGATGAAATGAATTAATTGGAAAACGTACTGGTCGAGATGATTTTATCCAACGATTATTTGATAGTTGAAAACGTTTGATGTGAAATATCTATGAATATATTATGACAATAATCTATACTTTATTCGATATAAAAGAGTCAAGTGAATTGAATTCTAGGTTATGTTATCTCAATTTTGAAAGAGGATTTCAAGAACATGCGAAGGAAATTTGTAGCAGTCGGCAATATTTATACCCAACATTTTACTCAGATTTTCTATTCCGAAGGGGCGGACAACTATTTTTTGGGAGCACAGACACACAGTATGTGGCACAAGCTTCGAAAAAGCCAATCCGATCTTCGCAGGGACATAACTTCCGTGCTAGGTAAAATACTGTTTGATAGGATAGAACTGAAACAATTTTGATGAAGCTGAACTCACTCTTGTTTTATTTTATTTATGCCTCTCTAAAACGACAAAATTTTCTCATGAAATGAAAACTTTCTCATTTATGTACCTGTCATCGACAGATATACTACCTCAAGCATCATAATGAACATGACATGAACTTATGATACTAACTAACTTTATTCATTATTCATATACTTCAGATATATATATATAATGATCAGTCGTTAAAAATAAACAAATTATGTTACATATTAGATATCATGATCTATTTAATAAATTTATTCTCATATTTCTCATCAAAAAATTTGTTGTAATATTTGCTTTCATATTTATTATATATAAATAAGAAAACGTTGAGTAAAATTTTTAAATAAATCAGTGCGAATAAAAAACAAAACTAAATCTCAAAAGTTTTTTGATATTTCGTTTTTTTTTTCTTGTTTCGTTATTAGATTAAAATTTTCATATTTTTCTTTATAAAATCTATTGTCAAACTTAAATCATAGTTTTAAGCTTACCAGACATGGTGGTAGTTTCCAAATATCAAGTTTTTTATCTGCTGGTTGTAATTTTTTACATGTTTTACAATTAAACATTTCTTTATGCTCAAGATTTTCCCATTTTATAAATGATTCAAGACAATCTTCTAAACGGACTATTGATGATAATTCATCAGCATTTGAATCATTATTTAATGATCGAGTTGATTTTACACTCGGATGAATTTCAACATCCTAAAAATAAAACAAAAAAGATTTATTGTAAAAAAAAAAAAAAAAAGTTTTATTAAATTAATTTACTTGTTCGCGATTTGATAAATAACGAAGATAATAAGCTGCTGATTCCCATTCAATAGCAATATTTTCACCTGTATAATTAAATTCTTTATTATTCGATTCAAATGCACAACCGAGACAAAAACTGAAAAAGAAAGAAAACTAAAATAATGAATTGTTCTTTTAAGTATTAAAAAAATCTTTACCGATTCCATGAACATCTTGAACATTTTTTTCCATCTTCATTAATATGTTTTAATACAAATGGATAACGTTCTTTAACTGAATCATCACAATTAAATTCCTGATTAGATGTATATAATGAATCATTATTTTTTCTTAATAAACGTTCTAATTGGTTATAAACAATATTATAAATATGTTCATTTGTTATTTTATTTTCAGAATTATAAGGTATAAGTATTGGTTGACCAAAAAATACTATTTTATGACGTGTCATTGGTGATAAATAACGTTCTTGACGTTCTAATCGACGATGCATTGCTTTTATATATGATATTGAACGATTTGTTGATGATGTTTTATCATTTGATATTTCCGATGATTTATTTATTAATGGTAATTCATAAGCAAGTAATTCACGAACATTTAATTGTTTAATTCTTGTTTGATCATTATCCATTGATGGATTACGACGAAGACATGATGATGCTATTATATCAAAAAATCCAATTTGTTCAATTGATAATAATGATAATGTTGATAACTGAATTTTTAAATGATTAACTGTTAAATCACCATCAAGTCTAATACCATAACGAGTTGGTCGTGAACCATTCAAACGAATAACTGAAAAATATTATGAACAAATTATATGTTATTCTTTTTTTTTTTTAATTTTATAAATATTTCAACATACGTTTTATTTCAATATAAATCGATGTATCCATTGGTAATGGTAATGATAAAATATTAAATGGATCAAATCGAACACTTTTTAATTCACATACACGACATTTTACTTGTGAACGAAGTAAACCATGAAATAAATCAACAATAATTGATGTATTTCGTGCTAAATGATTAGCCCAATGTTCATAAGCAACCTATTTAAAAAACAAAATAAATATTATTTTCAATTATTTAATAAAATAATTTTACATCTTCGTCAGGTCTATTATCACTATCTTTAAGTTCAACATAAGGTTTATTATGAACACGATTAAGATCTTCATGTAAACCATCAAGTAGAAATGAAAGAAATTCTTGTGAATCATGTTGTTGAAAATCTGTAAAACGTGATGAACCAAATTTTGCAACTGAATCCTATAAAAACAATAATTTATTTTTTTATGTCTTTGAAATAAAATATTGAAACAAACTCGTAATTCAAATGGTGCTAATGGTCCACGAACATTACTCCAAAGTTTAGCAATAAGTTGTCCATAACGAAGTGCAATATTACCTTGCATGCCAATTGGATTATCTCTATAATGATAATTTATTAAAATAATATTCAGCTTTTTTTTTTTTTTTGACTTTTTTTTCTTTATCATACTTATTAATTTCAAATAGATGATATTTATGTAGAATATAAAATGTTAATGGAAATGAATGACTAAGACATTGTACAGCTGCATTAAGAAAACATGTATTTCCTAAATTTGATAGACCTATTAAACCACGTCCTTCTTCTTCAACATTTCCTATTGAATTATTATTATTTGATGATGATAATCCTATAGCTTTTGAACGTGTTGCTAATGTATATAATTCTTCCGGCCATGTTAAATCATTATTACGTGTTTCTAATAAGATATCGATATTTTGTTCAAAACCAGCCTGTTGACATTCGATTTCATCGGTTGATTCAAAATCAATCTGACGAAGATCATTCTAAATATATTTCATTCATATATTTATATATTTGACAAAAATAATTGGATAACACATTCTTTGATTAAATAGTGTAAAATATTCGCATCGCTTTAAGACAACCATCTCTAGAACTATTACTTGTTATTCATCTGAATTCCGTGCAGACCCTAACTAATCAAATAAATATAATAGAAGTATATTTTTCCAGTCTTTTTTTTCATGATTTTATAATTTTCTGTGGTCGAAGCGTTTAAAATTATACATCACTATTCAGTATTAACATATACTTTGAAGTATTCCTTCATGAAAAGGACAATTGCGTATGAATGACTGATGCTCTCAATGTATTAGATTATATTTACGGATGAGCCCAAATCCAATAACACACTTTGAATATCTCAAGTTTAACAAAAGATTAAGGTGAAATTCAAAAATAACCTAAAGCCAAATTCATACTCATTGAATTTGATTTTTTTTTTATTAACTTTAGCATGTAGTTTAACAGTATTGTTAAAAATCCTTCTTTTGACATTCTACAGTATCACTCTTCTACTTCAAGTATCTATCTATGAAAAAATATTGTATTATGTGGCTCAGTAGATAAGAGTTTGTTTTTTTTCATTCAGGCAAAAAACGACCCAAACGAATTGGATACATGTCTGATTAAATGTCAGGATAGTGTAATAGTTTTCACTAAAGAATATCTAGAAGGTGGGCGGTTATACTGAATAATTGGCACTTTTAAAACAGTATGACATAACCAGCTGGAATTCGCGCGAACCCCAGGTGGTCATGTTAGAACTAAAGAAATAATAGCTTCTTTGTTAGCAAAAGAAATCTCTCAAAAAGAAATTGAAAATATTGTCAAAAGCATGAGCCAGTGTTTATTTTTAGAACCATTTTACCATTAAAACCAACATAATTGTCTCATAATGAGAAAGAACAGCATGAATTATTATTAAGGACAATTACTAAGTTGTAGGTAATACTTATTGAGATTAATTGGAGGATTTTATTTATTTTCAATGGATTATAAATAATTAAAAGAAAGTCGATAGCAGCATAGATATCAATCAAGAGAATGAGCCTCTCCTACTTTTCACGTCATATCTGTGAAAATTTCGATTCACCGGTAAAACCTATCTTGCAAACATTTTTACATGCTATGTTTTGCTAATCAGAGTGTGAAATTTTCGTAACACCTGAAAATCGAAAAAAAAAAGAAACAAACAAACAATCTTTCTTTTCTGCTTCTAATAAAAGTAATTTTACTACAATTTAAAAACCTCTACTATTTATCATTCTAACCAATCAGTCAAAGGAAAGCAAATATGATCTTCTGAATGCAAATACAAATTCTAATTAAATAATGAACTAACTTCGTTATATCTAATCCATATTCTTATTTCATCTAATGATTTTCCAAATTTTCTTGAAAGTTCTTCAGCAAGTGATCGAACTGTTTGATATGGACTAACAAAATATAGACATGCTAAATAATGTCTTTGTGTATTATTTGATATTGCATTTGATGAACCACCCGAACCTAAAAACAAACATATGAAAAAAAGCTAAATCTCAAAAAACAAAAAAGAATAAAAATCTTTGTAAAATTTTTACTAAATATGCTTGCTGATACATAATTAAGTAATGGATAGACAAAAAGCATTGAATGTGAATTATTATTATTTGATGTTGTTGTTGTATTTGTTGCTATAGCTTGCATTTGTTGTGGTGAAAGATTTTGATTACGATATATTTTAATTAATAACTTTAAAAAAAAAATAAGTCGATAAACTTTAAATTAAAATTAAAAAATCTTACTGGATAAAGATCAAGTTCAGGTTTATTAATTTTTTTTCTATATGTTACTTTTCTACATATAGCTGGTCCATTACAACGATAATATTTTCTTAAAAATAACCATAATGATTCAGGTACCATTTCAAAATGAATAATACGACGAAGACCAAGTTTAAGTTGTACACAATCATCATTTACTATACGAGTATTATTCGTAGAATTTTTATCTATTAATAATGAATTATCTATGTCACCAGATTCTCGTCTGAACAAAAACAAAATTAATCATAGAAAAAAAATTTGTTTTTTTTTGTTTTCTTTCGATTATTATTTACTTATTATCAGGACCATTAGTTAATTTATTAAGTTTAGTAAAAGAATTTTTCTTATTTATTGTTGTTATTATCGGTTCAGTTGAATTAATAATTGATGATGATGATGATGAAGATGATTCCCAACGAAGCCACCAATCCATTGAAATAAGATACCATGATGAACCTGGTTTTGATGTCGAACGATTACAATTAATCCAATGATAAGATTTTGATGAAACAGTTGGTTGTGCTTCAAAAAATGGGTACTGTTCACGTCGAAGAAATTCTCTAATTAAATAAATTTTTTTATATTAAAAGAAGACTCTTTTTTTGAGGGTGGTCGGAATTTGACCAATTGTCAAAAGTTTTATTGACAAAATTCCAGAACTCTTTTTTTTTTTTTTTTTGTTCTTTTAAATAAATAACATACTTAACAATTGTTATTTCATCTTGTTTTGTTGATGGTCTTAAACCAAGTACAACATGACAAATTTGAAATATAAGTTCAAGTACTTCTTTTATTAATAAATCTGTTGAACACCAATGTATAAAATCTTCTTGTCGAAAATAATCAAGTTGATTCTTTTTATTATTCTATATAGAATAACAAAATATATTAAATAAAATATTTAAAATTATTTCATTGTTTATACGTCATTTTTATGTAAAATATTGTCAGCATATATATCAGGTGAATCATTCATATGAATAGTAAGTACATAAACAAATTGAGCAACATCAATAAGACATGATGACATATGAACAATATCAGATCGATCAAGACGACCATCATGATCACGATCAAATACACGGAATAAAACTATTGATAGATGAATGAAAACAAAAACAAATTATCTTAAATATTTATTTAATATTCTCAAAAATGAATTTCTAGTCTTCTAATTGTATTTACTCTTTAAAATATGGGTACAACGAATCAAAAGTCTTAGAATTTGGGATATAAAGGTTTAGGTTTAATTTAGACTTGGATTTGGATTTGGTCTTAAATTACCCAAATATATTGAAGCTCGGTAAGATAAAGTACCAAAAAAACAAAAGAGAATCAGAAGTCTTCAAAATTGATATGGAATAGTTTGGATTTGATATAGATTGGAGTTTGAAATTTGGATTTGGTATTTAAGATTTAAGTTTGGATATCGTTTCAGTCTGACACGACTCCAAAATTGGAGTCATGTTAAATGAAAACCAAATCCTAAATCCAAACGATGGCTGCAATCCTGAGATCAAAATCTAGGAACGAAATTCAAATTCAAGTCTCAAATATTTGGCCTCAAATCCCAAATCTATTCAGAATTTATTGTATCCCTACTTTAAAATTTCAAATGGAATTTTATGTGAACTGGATTATAACTAAGCAATGAAAAGTAGAATTATAAAATTGATAAATTACGAAATATGATTTGTCAAAAAAACGAAATTTAACTCATGAGTGCATATGTCAAACTTTATTGTAGGATAAAGACTAATGAAGAAACATATCCGACTTATAATCACTCTTTGAACTCATATTTCGCTGATAGTATAAATAAAAATTCTGAAAGAATTCGTGATATTAGGTCTTTCTTCTCTAGATTCGATCATTTTACTGAACTTTCATCCTATTGCAGGATATCACAAGAAAAAAACGCAACAAAAAGGTTTTGACCTATAATTCTTCTCAACAATAGCTGTCATAGTCCTTATGATATCCTAAAAGTTTGAGCTCAAACGGATGCTTTTTTCTTCTTAACGATATCGTATGCCTAAAAACTGAACTATTATTTGAGCTCTTGTATGAAAGTAGCATGTTTTTTTTGCAATTTTTCAGGATTCTCATCTACACTATGAGTAAAATATGAGCTAAAACGGAGATTGTCAGTAGGATGGTTTTTTTCATAAGAAATTTTGGTTTGATGTTGCTTCTTTCATTAATAGAGCAATCATATCAACAAAATTCGTATAACTCATATAAAAACTGTTCTAACTTGTCACAAATAACAAATGTATAACATGAACCAAATTCGATATGAAGGATTGAATGTAAAATGTCTTCGACTTTTTGTCCTGATAAATAATTATCCTTGCAAAAATAGTTCTTAAGAAATAATCCCTCGTAGGAAGTCTTTTCTCATGCTCAAATGTTGTCATTAAAATACTGTATTACTAATATCTACATGACATTGTAATTCAAGTAGATTACAGCAATACTTAAATTACGACATAAGAATTATTACTGAGACTTTCGATGTCTTTTTTTGTTGCGAACGAAAAATTAAATTAAAACTAATCAATTATAATAAAATAATTGGCATGATTAACATTATCCTCAAGACAGTTCATGTTTTTACTAGAAAGAAAATATTTTTCCAAGGATGAAATACCAAGAACACTTTTATTGTGAATATCTATTCATGACCTTCTAGTCAAAAGTTACATCTATTTCACTAAATTTCAGATCTATAGCCAAGGTTCTTCGATATGAGACTTCGACAACAGATCAATCTGGTAGTCCTTAGAATATCTTGTAAGTTCCAATAAAAATAAATGGTTGTTTTTCGTGTTATGACGATTCTCGCTTACCAGTTATTCCAGTTTTACTATTATGATTCCCTTTTGGATTTGAAAGTCAAAAATATTTAGGAAGAAGTCACATCAATCAAAATTCTATTCTACTTTTTCTTAGCATAGGGTACCCTAACAAGGACACATAAATATTAATAAAAATGATATGAATCAATTGAAGATAGGAACCCATTGCTCTGTTAGTTGTTAATAACAGTTCTAATTGCTCCATTCAAAACTATTATTAAATTCTTAGGAGTTTAACCAAAGAGTTTAAAAATTAGTCGAAATCTATAATTTTCTAATATTAAACGAAATCAAACAACAACATCATATAGTTTTAAGTTGAGTTTAAAAATTAAAAACTAACACCTTTTAAGGAGACTTTAACTATTGATATTATTCCTTAGCAAAGGATTTTTTTCTATAAATAAAATTTTAAAATCATAAAGCATAAAATGATCATATTTTAGAGTTTACATTTTCCATAAAGAAATCAGCATGTTTAAATAGACTCTTTTCCTAATAAAACTTTCGTTTGATATATATATATACTACTGGCCATAAGTCCCTGGTTGTATGAAACTTCGAGTGAAGATCAATAGTTTTCCATGATATTTTCACCAGAGATGCTGCTTGAAAAACTGTGATCGTCAGTACCAATCGGAGCTCGAATACGCTGAGTAAAACTGGAGTTAGGGATCAAATACGACTTTCAGTCAGGTAAATACAATCTCGATATTTAGAGAAATTTTCAACCTAGCTCACTCTTGCTCTTGAAGACTGTTACTTGTTACATCTCCGATATAAGTTTTCTAGAAGAAATTGGTGATATTCAGAAACATAACAAGCAGAAAGTTCGAAATAATGGATGAACCAGGTTGAGAAATCCTTTAAATATTCCGCAATTGTGCTTATCTGACTGAAAACAGTATTTGATCCCTAACTCCAGTTTTACTCAACGTATTCGAGCTCCGATTGGTACTGACGATCACAGTTTTTCAAGCTGTATCTCTGGTGAAAATATAATGAAAAACGATTGATCTTCACTCGAAGTTTCATACATTCAGGGACTTATGGCCAGTAGTGTAAAATCTAATAAAACAAGGTTGTAATAATATCTCTTTTGTTTCATAAATTATTAATGGAAAAAATGTAGCATGTTTTATGTGTAAGAATAGATAATATTCTATATTCTAGTTACAGACTTAAATAAGCATTCTAAAGTTTATGTCATGCAATCATGATTTATTTAATCTTTTAAATCTATTCATATAATAACTCACATCTATATCTTTCAAATAATGGTCCACGACAAGCAGCACTAATTCCACAAACAAATTCTTTAAAATCAATACATCCTATAAATAGAAATAAAATTATTTTGAAGTTTTGTTTTATTCAAAAAATAAAACATTTTCTTTTTCCTACCATCACGATTTTCATCAAATGCATCAAAAAAACCTGGAATAAGTATTGGTGGAAGAACAGGTGTTAAAATATTTGAAAATGTTTCTAATGTTATTTGTTGTTGTCGATTTATATTTGAATATGTACATAAATAATAATAAGTTTTTTCTAATTCTTTAATTTCAATATCCAATACTAATTTAAATAAACAAAAAATATCAACGAAAAACAAATAATTAAAATTTCATTATTTTTATATTCATACAATGTGTTACACCAGCTAATATCGAATATTGATCAGATGTTCTATCAATTGGTGATGATAATAATTCATGTAAACGTTGGTCATCCATTAACCAATCGGTTATTGTTGTTGTATGGCCTTGATGAAGTTCTAACCATGACAGAAATTTTTCTTGTGTCACAATTTCATCATGCTATATAGAAAATAAAAGAAAATAATTTTTTTTTTCATTTAAATGAGCTTTTAGAAGTTCGAAAACTTGAGAAATATGTTCAAGATTTGAATATACAATATTAAATAGGATATTTATAGATCAATTGTAAAAAAACAGATTTTTAAGAATTTGATATTGAAATGTATAGGAGTTTTACAATGGAACTGATTGTAGTGTTGCTTAATAACACTGGATATATTCGAGGTCATTAAAAGCTTGTACTACCAAACTGATAAATTTAAAATATTAATAGAGTCTTTGTATGGTGATGTTTGGATAGAGCTTATCGAGTTCTATGAGAAAAAGTATTTCATGAAAAATTTCTGGGATACAATTATGGTCAAATGTAAGGGAAAATAGATCCCATTTGTTTTTTGATTTAAAACATACTTTTTATTATGCAACTCAATGGTTTCTATCAAATCATCATAAAAGAAAAACGTCGCTGATATTTTCTATAGCGAGCACCTTATATAAATATTGTAAATACGTTAAAATTCGAATATATCGGTCCGGGCAGCCGACATTTTAATTTTATTAGTTTGATAGTGGAAGCTTTAATTTGATTTTTTAATATAGCTAGTCTTATAAACTAACAACTCAAATGTCTCCGTTATTATTAGAGAATTCTGCAGATAATTCTGTATTATACTATCGGATTATTAAATTTAGTGTCTAGTCGTCTGTGAAATTCAATCGATAGAACGAAAATAGTTACGGAGTTCTACATGATACTTGATTTTGTTGAGTTTCATAGAATTTTTATAAATCGAAATTTATAGCCTTTTTTCCTTGAGAGATATAAATAGAATAGTTTTCTATAATAATTTTGCGATATATATAAATATATCACAAAATAATCGATTAGTAGTATTTTGAACATACTGATAATTTATACGATGAATTAAACTATTTACTAAATAATTTACAATGTATTTGTCTATAATAACTTGAAAAATTCTTTACTATGAACTATTTAGAAATGTCATATTGTATACTCATAATTAATTATTTATATTTATAATTCCTCGAATAGAATTTTATACATTTTGAAATATTGTATCAAGTTCTTCGGGTGGATGATCACCACATTGTGAAAGAAAATCTTCAACATCTTGCCAACGTAATGTACCATTACTATTTGATATATTATGAGCAAATAATAAATAAAGAACTAAACAACAAAAAAAAATGGTATTCAATCTTTAATTAAGATACAAGAAGAAAAATCTCACGTTGCATTCGTTCTTTAGGTGTACCATAATAAATTAATGCCAAACAACAAATAAGATCTTTTAATGACATACAAGATCTTGATGAACTTGTACATACTTGATAAAGACGCTGAATAAAACAAAAATAATTCTTATAAATAATTTTAAATTAAAAGAAAAACATACAGTAGCTAATTTTTCTGGTAAAAAATGTGCAAAAACATCACGTTTAAAATTTGTATAACTAAGTTCACCCGTTCCACTTGTTAAATCACGGAATGTTGTATCAATACGTTCTAAATCGGCTGGTAAAACTAAATTAAAATAAACATAAAATATTATTTTCTTTTTTTGTCTTCATATGTCAAAAGATTTTTTATCGTATACATCGTTTTACAGCATCGTCATATGATATAATTTTCGTTGATCCACTGCCCATGATCTCTATTTCCTTCTTACGTTATTTTCAAGCCATTTGCCATAATAAAAAACAATCTTGAAAAAACAAAATAAATAACAACGTAGACAAAATAAAAGAATTTCGTGTTTCTTCCTTTGAAATCATATTTTTTCTCAATTTTTCTGTAATACTGATTCATTTTATTGGTCATCGATAGTTCTATTGGTTGTTGAAGTAAAAAATAGAAAATAACCTGTATATATGTTAATCAGAACAGAGCGTCATCTTTTTTTTTATTGCTAATTTTAGAACAGTGTAGAGACTTGTTCGAATTCTTTTAACTCTTAAAGACAATTTCTAATTTGTGAAATTGGTTTCTTTTCTTTCTGAAGAAAGAAATTTTAATTTAAATAATGATGTATTCAAAGAAAATTTTCGAACTATTTGTATAATGTAAAAGATGTTGTTAATGTAAATAGAGAAAAAAAAACACACACATGTCTTCTGTTCTCTATTTTTTTAATGCTTATAATATTTGTTTAGATATTGATTATTTATTTATGAATAAGTTTTGTACATTTAAAAGTCTTATTTTAAACATCTTAAATGTAAATACTATAATAAATATAATAAAAAAAAATATGAATCTTCCAATAATTTCAAGAATACAATGTCGGAAAGTCTTCTAAAAGGTTTTATCAAGATTGATTACTCAACAATGGCATAATTATTTGCTGATTAGACAAATGATATGAAAGATTAGAAGGCTTTCATCATATTGACATACATTATACGAAGTATACAGGGATTTCTGATTTTTCACACTAAAGATTACATATTTTATGGCACTTAAAATTACAAATTTTTCAAGCAAAACTTAGTCAATTTCGGACGCTCTATCTGATGATATTGTTGTACTTGAAGAAATATATAATTAAAAAGTTAAAGAATCAATCAAAAATTCAGGATTTCGACCAATTCTTACACTTTTTTTCTTTTACTATTGTATTACATCAAGTACAATGATACCATTATATAGAACGATCAAAATTGACCAATTTTCAGTCGAAGAAGCGGTCGAAATTTTCGGTTTTAAATACCGCAAATATGCCATCTTTAATATGGAGAATTGAATATCGGTACATTTCTACCTTATATAAAACTAATGAGACTATCTATGGTTATTGATTCATTTTGTTATACTTTTTATTCGGTCTAGTATGTTAGCGCCAACTTGTATTGGGAAAGTTTCTTTTCTTTGTTTGGACATTATTTCTTTCTTGTTTTTTTTTTGCTTCTCTGATTGATATAACATCTGTCAATTGTAATAGTTTATTTAATTTTTATTCACCAACTGTTTTCAATCGATACACGATCATAAAGAAAAAAACTTTAAGTTTAAGCTACTTTTTTTTAAATTTCTGTTTTTCTTCATATGAAACAAAAAAAATATCATGTTTTACGTATAAATGTATAATGTAAACACACGAACATAAGTTCTCGTGCATAATGAATTTCTCCTTGTTAAACTCTTACATATTTTCAATCCGATCGTTGATCCTTCTGAGTATAATTGCGTTCAATCGAACGAAAAAAGGAAAAGAAAAAGAAGAAGAACAAAAGAAAATTTAGCAGCAACTAAAAACATGAATATAATTTTTCTTTCTTTCTTTTTCTTTCGTCACAAAATGAAACTTTCTATTTTTTTGTTATATTTACATATCACCTTTGTCTATTGTCCACAAACATTCATTGACTTTGCCAAAAAAACAATGTGCCAATTGATGACGAAAAAAAGAAAAAAAACTGGATGTTAATGTCAGCATATGATAAAAGATAGCAGCGGCAAGAAAAAAGGAAACACAAAAAAGCGTAAGAGAACACTTTCTCTCATTCATTTTTTTAAAGCTCACATTAAAACCACGTTGACAGTGATGAAACATTCGAAATAATATTTCTTTTAACTATAGTCAAAAAAAAAAAAGAAAAGAAAAAGTAACCCATTCTTTGTTTTTTCTTTGTGTTTATAATTTCTAGATTTATTCAATTTAATTAATGTTATTATATATCATCAATAGGAAGATTTTCTAATATATATTTATATGATAAATGTAAGCCGAAAATAAAAGAAAAATTTTTTGTTTTCTTTGTATTTATATCAATTTATTATTTTTATTTAGATTTAATCTAACGAATTACAATAAAAACGAAGAAAATGACTGACAATAATAGTGATGATGAGTTCTTTGATGCTAATGGTATTGAAAAATTTTTAATTTTCTTTTTCTTTCACTTCATATGATACTAAATCAACTATTTGAAAATGATAATTTTGTTTTTCTTCATAGATAGTAAATATTAATATAACAAAAAAGTATTTATTTAATAGGAATTCACCAGATAAACATCTAAAGTAAACAAATGATATACTTTTTCTACATAACGATAAAACGAATTTTCTTCTCTTATATAAAGATCATTATCAAGAAAAAGAAATCAAAATCTTTATTGCGATATAAAATAATCTTTCTTTTTTTTAGTTTATTTTTAATAATTTTATGCAGTTTTATAATAATTGCTTTTCTTTTATAAACTCCTCTGAGTTTAAATTTTATTCGTAAAAGTTAAAGAACAAAAAGAAATATTAATTAGACTCACCAAGGACATTTAACAAAGACATATTCTCAAGAGATTTGTTCTGTTTGTTTTCATATTGTGAGTATATATAAGAAAAATTATTGAAAGAAATGTCCAAAAAAGTTATGCTTATTATATGAAGTTTCTGTTTTTCTCAATCATATAATATTCATATTTTCAATGAAACAACGAACTACTATTGATTAAACTATACTAAGTATCCATTAAGTTAATGAAAATTCTCATGTTTGTAATTATTTATTTCATATGTTGAACGCATACAGTATTGCTCGAATTCTATTTTTAGACGACGATGTTTTAGTAATTCATCTCGATGTTTCTCTTTTATCTTTTTGATTCTGTAGATTCAATGACGAATCAAATCAAATGAAAAATATTTGCCGTCATCATATGAATAAGAAATCGTATTATCATAAGTGCTTCCGTATACTGTTATAATTTAAAATAAATGAAATTGATAGCTCAATTTTTATCTCCTTTCGTACTAATAAAAAGGAAAGAATTCACAAAAAACTAATTTCTTAATATTGAAAATGAATATGAGAGAAAAAAGAAAAGTTTATTAATTTTGAGATTAATAGTAATCGACCAAATTCTTGTTGACGTGTAGGTTAATATGTCTAATATCATAGAATGAATCATTTCTTTAAGAATTTTTTCTCGTTTCTACGAAAAAATAAGGACACTATTAATATATATATATAGAACTTTGCTTTGTTTTAATGAAATGAATTAACTTTTTCATCATATTTACTTTTATCTCAAGAAAAAAAGTTCTTGTAAGAATGCATTTTATCTTAAATAAATTGAATCATTAAATGTGGTTGTCACATAACTTTCCAAAAGTGTTTTTTTGAAAAAAACGGTCAAAGGGCATATTTATTTTTATTGTAACGTTGGTTCTACGTCATTCTATGTTTTAAGCTTTTAATAATTAAATAGCTATGCTTAAACAGTAGGCTTATTACAGTGTATAATCAATGACTTTCGTGATAACAATTTATAAATCATTTGAAAATTGCGAAGAAAAAAGAAGAAAGAAGACGATATTTGGGAAATAATAAAACTCAACAAACAATTTTTTATTTAGTCTTTATTGATAGCTACTTATAGTGACATTTTCTTTTATCATTTTCACATGCAAAAATGAAAATTAATATCATGCACAGAGTCATTTTATGAACAATAAATCATTCTATTATTAAAAGTACTATATTGAGATTTTATGAAGCTTTACTAATGACAAATATATTTTCTTACATAATGATAAATTCTATATTTATATTTATATTTATTATATAGTGCTGAAGTGATCGAGTCTTTTCATTATTTATTTTCTCCTAGTACTATTCTATGCCCAGCTGTCATGAATTATTATTCACTTGAATACATTTAAATATAATCAACCAAATCATAATTGAATTTTTATATGACATACCAGTAAAAAATGATTTTTTTATTTCATAGATACGGATCAATATACCACTGATATTCAACGAGACTTAATGCGAACATGGAATAATTTTTCTCGTCAACAATTTGGTCGGTACGTGAAATCTAAGAGCATGATTTAAACTTTTTTGCTTTACAGTCCACACTACAAATGACTCGGAGGACATTTTTTTCTCTCATTTCTCTTTCATTTCCAAGTAACACTCCTTCTAATCATTTCATATTATTATCTTTCTCTTTCTAACCCATTTTTTTTTGTTCTTTTTTTCTGACGTTATTTAGATGCAACACATAAACTTGAGTAGATGGCGTGATCAAAATAGAGAGAAAAAGGACTACATAAATTAGCAACCATCTAGTTTTTTCGACAATACTGTCGCTTTTCTTATATCAGTTTATATTCAATAACAAAAAAATAAGCGAATTTCATACATTATTTTTTTCGAATGAATAAGCAACAAATAAATCGATATAAAAAAAGCAACCTATAAATTCTATACTCATTCGAAGTAGAAAAAGAGAGGCGAATACAAGAACAAGTAAATCTATGCTTTTTTATTCTTATTCGACCTTAACATATTCAGTGATAAAGTACATTTTATTCGATCATAATAAATAGTATGCAATTTACAATAAAAATCAATTTGTAGAAAGTTTCTTTTTTTCTGCCCTTTTACACAACTACTTCTATTATTATTTCAACACATATGAATAAAGTATCTCTTACATTAAAGAATAATGGAAAAAGGTATGTTTAACATTTGTATTTGTTCGTTAATTTTGAAAAAAAAAATGAATTATTATTCTGAAGAAGAAATTGACTTACTTTTTTATTTTGTTTCTTATCATTTTATTTAGAACTAAACTTCCTGCGACAATGTTTGATCGATCACAAATTAGTATTTGGAGTATACTTAAACAATGTATCGGAAAAGTAAATAATTTGATGTAACATAAACTAAAATGATCTGTTATTAAAAGAATAAAAATTAAGTTTCAAGATAATATTCAATTTTTTTTTTTTTCAAGAAATATTTCGATTCATATAACTGAAAAATATCAATTTGAACTTTAAAGAATTTAGTTTGTGAAAAATTTCATAGTTATGTATAATTTTTGAGTATAGGTCAACAACGATAAAATATTCTTGCAAACTAATAGATTTTTTCATTGAACATTTAATATTGTTTCTTTTTTTTGTTACGAAATAGCAAGAAAAACAAATCGTATTATAGCAATAGCATTATATTGGCTTCATCGACTAGATTTAAGTTTTTAAGATAAACAAGTTGGAATTAACTTCAGATTGATGAATTATTCAGTCTGAAATGATTATTTCTGATATAAATCTTATTACTTACGAGAGAAAGTCCCCAAGTGTTAAATTGCTTTTTAGCCTAGACTATATTCAATCGATAGCGCTTAGTGAATGAATAAATATTGTTGAGTGATTTGAGTTACCAGGCCTTTGTTGCTCAAAATATTGAATTTTTAGTGAATTTTAATCTAAAATTTTTGTCTATGTTAAAGTTATCGATAAGAATAAGTTGTAGAGAAATTCTTTTTTTTTTCAAGTTTTTAAATAAATTTATCCGACATATGAGTTTTGAAAAATTTATAGCTCGATGAGTCTTAGTCAAAAACTTCTGAAATTTTTTCTAGAAACCATTCTAATCGGGGCCTTTATATAGACAAAGTTTTAGATCGAAATTTAAAAGTATAATTTTGCTCGTAACATATTATTCAGTAAGAAAAAAATCCTTTAAAACACTTGATATCTTAACGGCAAAGATCGAGCACCTCGAATCATTCTAGGGTATTATACTGATTCAGACTAGGTCGTATCGATTAAATATAGTGCCAGCTTAAAAGTGATTTCTCACTTGGGAATGTTCTCTTGTCAATGTTGTGTAAAAATTTCATTTATCAATAGAGAGATACTTAGAAAGAAAACCACATTAATATTTTTTTTTTAATAATTTGTCAGCGATTACCATTGAATTCTATCTTTTTTGCTATGATGAAAAACAATGACAAAACCGTTTAATATAAATCGAATGAATTAGATCTCGAAACTTCGTTTATTATTATTTGTTTTCTTTCGATTATAGACGATTGTCAATAATCACATTTAAATATTTAAGAAGATGAGTCTTTTTTTTCTAAATTTTATTAGGAATTATCGAAAATAACAATGCCGATAGTATGGAATGAGCCAATTTCATTTCTTCAACGTTTTGCAGAAAATGTTCTTTATTCATATTTACTTGATCGAGCTGATGAATGTACCGATCCAATAATGAGAATGCAGGTATATTCATTTCTATATATCTATCATATTTGATTTTAATGAAGTTATTTTGTTAAAAGTATGTCGCAGCATTTGCTGTATCATCAATATCAAGTAATATTGATCGTTTATCAAAACCATTTAATCCATTACTTGGTGAAACATATGAATTTGTTCAGTTAGTTAAAAAAGAAAATTTTAATTAAATATAATCTATTATTTTCCCTCTATTAGAGATGATTTACCATTTCGTTATATGAGTGAACAAGTAAGTCATCATCCACCCGTTAGTGCATTTACATGTGAATCAAAGGATAATGGTGATCGATGGCGATTTTATGGAAGTATTTTACCTAAAGCAAGATTTTCTGTTAAAAATATGGAAGTTAATCCAAAAGGTTTATTAACACTTGAACTTAAACGGTAAACGAAACAACACATACACATGAAGAAATTCATTATGAAAATTTTCCTATTGGGTTTTTAGACATAAAGAAACTTATACATGGGAAAGTGTAACATGTACAATTCATAATATTGTTGTTGGACGACTTTGGTTTGAATATGTAAGAATATATTTCGATTAAAAAGAAAAGAATTTTCTTTTTATTTATTTTAAATAAAGCATGGTACTATGGAAATAATTAATCATTCCAATAAAATAAAAGCTATTTTAAATTTTAAACCATATTCATGGTCATCAAAAGAATTACATAAAGTTGAAGGTTATATTTATGATTCACAGTAAGATATTGGAATGTTTTTTCTTTATTATAATTGTAAAGATTCATATATATATATATATATATATACACGAATTTTTTTATTAGAAAACGTAAAGTACGTGGTTTATATGGTTATTGGACAGATTCATTATATTCCATTGATATTGATCGTTTTGAAGTATTTTTAAAACAACAAAAAAAAGAAATAAAAAATTCATCGAAATATCCTCAACAACAACAACAACAACAGCAAGTAGTGAATTCATCAACAGCAACTAATAATGATATTGATAATACGGATTTAGATGAAGAATTACCTGAAGTTGATCCATCACATGAACAACTTAATCTTCCACCAAATTCACTTACACTTTGGAGAATTATGCCAAAATTAGACTATGCAACACAAGTAAAAACTATTTCTTGTTTTTTTTTCATATAAATAAATCAAAAGAATATCTATGATTTTTTTTTCCGATTTATAGTATTATAATTTTTCATTGTTTACTATGGCACTTAATCAATGGACAGAAGAAGATAAAAAAACACGACCACCATTACCACCAAGTGATTCACGATTTCGTCCAGATATTCGTAAAATGGAAGAAGGTGATATTGATTCAGCTGGACAAGAAAAAGATCGTCTTGAAGAAAAACAACGTTCTACAAGACGTGCAATGGAAAAACGTCGAGAAGAATGGCAACCGAGGTATAAATTCTCTTTTATATGTTAGAAGAATATTAAGCGATTTATGTTTACTTTTTCTTCTTGAATATATTAGATGGTTTCGTCTTATCAAACATCCAGTAACAGGACAAGATGTATGGGTATCAAATGAAAAATATTGGCATCGAAACTGGGTCAATTGTCCAGATATCTACTAGTACCATTAATTTGTTTGTTTGTTTTTTTTCTTTTCTTTTTTTCGACGGTGCTTATTTATTATTCTTCAATTCAATTTCGTTACTTTGTAGTCTCTTTCTGCTTTTCTATTTCTGTCTATTTTTGTGTATGAGTATGATCTCGAATCATAAAATAGGCTTTATTGATGGTGAAAATAAATTTTGCATAAATAATTGCTCACAATAGGAGGCTTAGCCCCGAATATTGACAATAATCATATTTCTAATGATAGGGATTATTGGAGAGGAAAATATATATAAATACAAGCTCAAAAATGATGTGTAAACTCTATGCATATACATCTCATTCTATAGTATTCTTAATTGTAGACATTCCTACTACAGATAGAGGTATATTCATAGATTTAATTAAATAATAATATTGTCTTGCATCATAACAGAATATATTTCTAATTTCAGTCAAAAAAAAGACCTCTATTGTTTAAATCTATTTTTATTTTATTAACGGCGTTTCATCAAAGATAAAACATGTAAATAGATAAATTTTGTCCTTCAAAAAGGTAACATCTCTCGTTATTTTAAACTGATATATTCTTTTGTTTTGCAATGTAAGATATACAAAACAAAATATCTGAAGTTCTATGAGAGCATAGTTAGTCCTTGGTCACTCTTGTACATGAAGAGTTCAAAATCACAAAATTAAAGAAAACTGTTTCAACAATAGAAAGTGTACTATCGACAAACCATCAAATATGTTGCAAAATCTGAGATACTCAGCAGATGAATGATATAAGCCCCATTTTTCGTCCGACAGATGTCTAAAAAAAGATTTATTGACTAATTGCATCAGAAAAGTATAATTTTGTAAATTATTACTTGCCATTTTTTGCCAGAAAAATAGATCGAAGTTCTAATATGATTTCGTTGTGAGACTATAACTGACATATTGGAAAAATAAAATTGTCTTTGCATTGCTCGTGGATTAGAAAGAAGATGAGTTTTTATCATAAAAATTTAAAATGTTAAGTTCTTAAAGATTTCTCATTAAAGTACTGAAAAAGACGAAATTCCGTGGTGGACAGTATTTTTATTTTTTTTTTATTCAATCCAGTTTATTCTTCTTAATTAAACAATGACCTGATATTCTGAACGGTCAAAATTACGTGACAGTTGATGTCTTTTGAATAACTCAGGTTTAGCTAAAGGAAAATTCATGAAATTATTAATGCTGATGGATCTAAATATTGTGTATTTCTGATGAAAAATTTGTCAGAGTTTGCATTGATTATTGATAAGATGTGGGTGTTACAAAGAAATAAAAAAATGAAATGCTCTGACGCTTGATCATGCCCATAAGTAAACGAGTATTTATTAAATATTTATTCCTCCATCGATATAATTATTTTAGAAAATTATCAAGATTTTTTTGTTTTAATAAGTTCTTTTTCGGATATATTTATTTTAGAACAAGAACATTTTACGTCATCTTAAGATGTGAGTGGGAGGTTTCCTCTTCATCTACACCCTACGCATGTCTATTTAGAAGTAATACGTAGTTTTGCATAGTATTTATGCCGTTCGTCTCTAAATAGCATCAGAATAATTATGTTTTTTTTTTTATGGAAAATCATATACTGTAACAGTATGCTGCCATGACTAGTGTATTGTGTGATTTGAATTACGTATATTGATGTAAAAACAGCCATTAAAAAAAACTAAGAAGACATGTAATCAGATACGCAGGTAAAACAGTACGACAGTTCATATTTCGTACATCGTAAGTGTAATAAATATGCGAGCTTTCTACTATGCACTCATTTGTAACTAATATATTTATTAATGTTGACAAATCTATTTTTTTAAACATTTTTTTTTATTTTAATGAAAAAAAAAATGAAAGATTTTGTTTAAACTTAACTCATAAAAAATGAACCAAATGAAATAATAAAATGCTTAAAAGTCAAGCCATATTTGATCATTAGTTGAATGAAATATTTGCATATGGGTCTGATTAGCTATCCATATTGTCCCATGTTGATCAAGAAATTCAAATCTTGTAGCTTGTTTAATATCTGTAAAAAATCTTGCAAGTACATCACCATTTAAATCTTTAATTTCAATCTTTGAATCAGTATATAACGAATAATAACGATGAAATGGATCCAATAATACCGGTAAATCTGGTTTAATTAATTCGAAATTATGTCGTGCCATTGCCCAACCTTCTTGTCTTTGAATTGACGATTGTAAAAGACCTTGCCATAAAACGAGAATATCACTACAAGCCACACCGAGAAAATATGGTGGAACTATTGATGAACTTGGACATTTATGGATTGGACCTTGTGTTACTGAACCATTATCATATAATGATGACATACGACACTAATGTAACAGAAAACTAAAAATTAATATTTTTTTTCCTTCACAAGATTTTTTTTTGTTTACTGTATGTGTTTGCGGATCTAATTGTGTATAAACAACATGTTGTCGTGTTGTATTTATTTCAATTTTTATCCAACGTTCATTTAATAAATAATCATGAGTTTGTTCTTGCATAGCAAAACCAGTTCGTCTATCGGGACTTAAAAATAAATTCTCATTTGATTGTTTATCAATAAATAAATGTTCAAGTTGATGATTAAAATTATCCATCCATGTATATTGTAATAAATGATTTTTTATTAAATTATGAAGACGTTCAATAGGTTCAGCTTTTAATTCATTTTCAATCCAATGACGTGTTACAATGCGACAATGAATTGGATCAACTAAATTATAACATTTACAATGTAAATTATGTTGACATGACTTAAGACACCGTGAATGACTTGGAATACAATGAAGTGGATTTGATAATGAATGAATAAATGTTGTTGGACATACACATGATGATGTATTGGTTTTAACACATGGTAACCATGATTTCATCTATAAAAAGAAAAAGATTATTATACTATATTAAAAATTAATATCGTTCTATATTCTTTTTTTTTTTTTGACTTACATGATCATCAGGTTTATATTCTAAAAGTGCTTCCGTTTGTTCTAGTTGTTGCTGACGACGACATGTATTTAGTCGAGTAATACTAAGAATTAAAAATAAAGCACCCATAATAATAAGTAAACTCAATAAAATAGGAAAAATTAATGATGTTAAACGAAATGAACGATATTGATTCAAGAAACGAGATTTTATTGAATGATTATCATCTTCATGACCATGATCGAAATGTATTTGAAATTTTTTATCATTCATAGATGTAGAAATGTTTTGATGCATGTTCATAAAATAAGACCTAAAAGTATGCTATGTGCAACAGTAGAAGGAAAGAAAGTGAAATATAAAAGTATTCGATATGATATAAATAAACTAAACGAGAGAAAGATAGATTTTTCGAACAATACCTCGAAAAGAAATCGATCTATAAAATAGTAAAGCGAAAGAAAGAGAAAAATTATGTAAATATATTGTTTTCTTCGCCATTAGAATGCATTCGAACTAATCAGCATTTATAATATGTACGCAACAATCGAGATAAGAAAATGATTGTTTACCAATAAAATCAATATTAAAACTAGATGGTATTAGAGTTTTACTTGACTGCAAAGTTTCGATATATCGATTATCGAAAAATAATCGTGTATGATCAGCTATATTCACGGATGTCACAGTGTTGACTAACGTTTCTTGTCAAGTTTGAAAGAAACCTAAGTTTACAAAAATTTACTGTTTATTTTGGGTGACTTCCTGTAATAAATTGAAACATGCTTTTGAAGATCAAAAAACGGATGTTATCGATTCGATCATGAAATTTTATTTTTGCATTTGAACGAGTATTTTCTGACTTTCCGTTCTCGACATCATAGCAGCAGATAATTACTATCTTTTGATGTGCACGCCGTGGGAAGTATTAAGAAAAAAAAAAGAAAAAGAAACTCGTGAAGGACTACAGAAATGCTATACTTCACACGGCAGTATTTCTTTGTCTTTTATAGTTCATCGGTAATGATAGATGATTTCATAAAACTTTCTTTATTATTAAATATGAAGTTTTTGATCGATCATTTATTATTGACTTCTATAGAATCAAATAAGTATTATTGTCTAACACAAGCAAAAATCTATTCGATAAAACGAGATGTAAGTACTATTAGATAATTTTTTTTTAGGAAATTTATCTAAAGACTAATGATGTCTAAGATAGGTAACCGTACAAAAAAAAATGTAATACTAGTTTGCTTATGTGTTGTTTTTGAAAGGAGTTGTCAATTAGTATTCAAGTCATGATTTCCAAATGTTTATCAAGATAATTTCCTATGTAGAAATACCAAGCATTCCTTCTACACAATTATTAGAAATATGATGTATGAAGTTTAGTCTTGAAAAAAAAACAATTCTTTGCCTTTGTTCAAACAATATTTCCAATTTTCTTTGTTTTTATTTTCATAAGTATAACTTAAGACAAAATATTCTACATAGTTAATCCACTTAGAATATGTTCATTTTTTCTTTCTTTTGCTATACTATGTCATACATTTTTCTATCTGTTTAACGCTGCATCAAAAGCTATTTTTACTGTATCTTTAACATCTTATCTATTCTATGTATTATCACGTATGTATGTAGTAAATGAAGTATTACATCACTGCACATGCATAGAAATATTATAGATTATATTTGGATAGGAGAAATTATTATTAGTATCAAATATGGTTATTTGTTTAGATTAAATATATGTCGTAAGAATCAATTAAAAAGAAAAGTTTAGTTAAATTTCTTATTGTTTTCAATGTTGAAAGTATGAGAAGTCTAGTTTTTGTATTCAATATTATATATTTCTTTTTATGTCTATTATGTTAACTATTACATTTTTCATTGTATTTATTCATTCATTTATTCTTTTTCTTTCTTGATTGATACAAGATATTCTTTCTGCATAACAATAATCATACGAATGGTTTATAGACGACTAGCAAATTCATAATCTATCTATATTGTTTTATATAACCAATGGGATGTTAAATAGATGCTAATCGAAACGCATCAATAATCATCACCATTATCACGTCCATCTCTAAAGGACTCTTTTCATTACTTATCAAAAATGTAACATCGCTTTAGTTTTCTTTCAATGGTGTTTCCATCTGTTTTGTCTCATTAATTCGTGTAGATACAAATGGAGCTCGTCATCATACTTATAATATATATTTATAAATATACACATATAAGTGTATTTATTGGAATCGAAAAAAAACGGAAATAATGTTGAAGAGAACACATAAGAAAGAAAGTTAGAGAAAGACACAAATAGCTCTATATTCCCGCTATTCCTAATCGTTTACACGGAAACTAGAGATATCGGAAAGTAGTACGATGAATGAATTTTCTATTCATCTTAGTTCTACTATCAGCAGTAGTACTAGAGTATAGTATGCATCTATATAATAAGTGCTGCCGATCTGTTTATTCAAGTTTTCCGTTTTCTTCTCTTTTTATTTCCCTCTCTCTCTTCATCGGGCTGAGATCAATCTCGAGCGAACAACAACAACCTATCTGTATTAGCAATCGATGACACGTGTGTCTACGTATATATTACTACTCAATCTCAGTTGATAATATTTCAAGAGTGACATTTGCTTCGCTCGGATGCTTTTTCTTTCTTTTTTTTTCTTTACAATGACATCAAGATTCAACAAATCAATGACTTGATGTAGTAGTACTAGTTCTACTAGTCTTACTACTGTTGTTATCAATGTAAATGGCATTGATAAAAGCTATAGGACCTTTGTTTTTCTGAGCAGCCGTCAATCTTTTTTTTTTATCCCTATGGCGATTAGTTTGCCGTTGTAGTCTCATCATCACTACATAGAAAACCGGAAGGAAACAGAGCAAAATGCCAAGCTTTCTCTGTTTTTTTTTCTCCTTCCATTTAAAACTTACAGCCTACGGGCGTCCTACGTCCACCATCAAACGATTACAGATGAGAATGGCCAAGAAAATATAATCGATGCTTTTGCACACAAGCACACGAAAACTTCTTTTCTCTCTCTCTCTCTCTCTCTCTCTCTCTTCATATTTTTCTTCTTGTATTTGTCCCATCTGTGTCACACGCATATATACATATTTTCTTCATATATGTTAATCATTTGACAGAGATACATGTTTGATTTCACATACACACACACATATATATATCACAAATGCACTGTTATGATCGACAGTTCGTCAAGGTAGTTTTCAAAATGGAAGTGACATCGTTGAACAACACCATCAATTCATATTTGTCTTTATTCTTTTCTTTCAATTATCCTGTTTTTTTGTCTTGAATGGCATCGATTAGAATATGTGTGAATGTGTATGTGTAGCCTCGTTGTTTCGAATGCACAATGAAGTCAACGCCCGCAAACGAGTTGTCTCAAGGAGCTATTCCGTCATCATGCATACATACACATACATTCACTAGATGCGACTACACACTACTTTATGGTGTTTTCTTGCGTCTGCGTTTTCTCTCTTATTCTCATCTTTCTTGTTCTGCAACTTGGTAGTTATAAAAGCATCACATTAGTAAGACTAGCGATGACGATGACAACGACAACGACGATGTCGACTGCTGTTGAATAGTGACATTGTATTTCTATCAAATCTTGTGCACTCATCGAAGAAGAGTTGTATGATATATTATATCATTTGTTAAGTTAGAATAGACTATCGACGTATGTATTTCTCTCTCTCTCTATCGCTCTCATGTGTTTTTTTTATTCGATTCATTGAGTATTATCTTTTGCGTTAAGTAATAATCTTTTTTCATGTCTCAATGGGCGGATTGAGGAAAATAGAATTGATCGATCTTATTTTTATGTTGAGTTCTATAGTATTTCAAGGATGATTGAAATCTGGAAAAGAATGAAGAAATATAAATGAGAAGTAAAGATTGTCTAGCATATTGATCGAGTGTTCGTTCGTTGATGATGTCTTTCTTTCTCGGTTTTTTTCCTATCTCTCTAATTAGTAACGAGATGCAGATTCGATCTTCTTATATGCGCGACTGACTAAATATATCTGTCTGTTGTGCGAATGCAAACAAGTCATATTATCCAGCTAGCAAAAAAAAAGAATAAGAAGAGAAAAGACGGTATAAATACTCTGACTTAGATATAACGAATAAACATTGATCTTGGTGATAAAGATAGGATTGGCAATGTTTTATCTTCTTAATAGCTTATGTCATTTCATGTTCATTTCTTCATAAGAAAAATAGTCTATCTATTCACTTTTCGAAAATGTTTGAAAGCATGTTGCTCTAGTCTCATGTGAGCAACAACTGTTGATATTTACTTGACATACATTTAATGCTGCCGTCATTCCCAATTGGTCTTAGCAAGAATATAGTCAGATGTGAAGACAGATAAAGAACAAAGAAATTATTTTGTTTAGGATATAACGATCAATGAAGAAGAAAATTGCACATTATCATTAACAATTCCATTGTTTGTCATATGATCTTTTGTATCTAGATACATTTTTTAGATTATTTAGTCTATTTCATTTATTTTAATAGTATTGGTTCGTCAACATCACATTAAATCTATCATCACCATCAACAACATTCCCTTGTGAAAAAACAGTGAGAATGGTGACAATTTCCGTTTTTTTTTCTGTTTCCTTTTCTTACCTTTAGATTTCTTTGGGTTTTTTTTTTCTTATTTTTTTAGTAATGACTACCTATGTACTATCCTATAGTTAACATGAAACTAAAAAAGGATATATATAAAGGTTATTAGGGAAAAAAAATACGAACGATGATAGTGATGATAATAATAGCTAATTCTAGTCTTTTTTTATATGTATGCATTCCGATGAAATCTCTATTCTCGTCTGTCGACATATAATCATCACACTACTCCTACTACTACGAAAAAAGTACTAGCACTATAAAACAAGATAAGGAGAGAAAAAAAACAAAATCTTGCGAACGATTTACGCGCTTCTCGTCATCATCTTCATTATTGAATGATGGGATAAGATCGATCAAAGAAAATCAAGACGAACACATCCCCTATAAGCAACTAGCGAACGGTATCGGTAGCACTTGCTTTTTAGTTAGTGTCAGCGCCTGTGGGAACTGTAGAAAGAGAGAAAGACAGAGACTGAGAGATGGAGAAAAGAAAAACGAAGAACACAAAGAATTTCATTAGAACGACAAGGCGTAAGATGCGCACTATGTGTGGGGTCGCAAGCGAGCATAAGGAAAGTCGTTGTGTTGTTCGCATGCTTACACGCGTTGATGATTATAGGGCGACGACGATCCGAAAACAAATCAAATGTAGCTATTATTTACAGCGTTTCTATCGTTGAGTTTCGCTCGTTCGTTTTAGACGGGCTCACATATAAGACACGCTGTCTTATGTTAGAAGAGAATCTTGACTAATACCACTCCTCTTTCTCAATTTCTATTCAGGATCATATAAATAAGTTCTCTTAGTTTGTTTCCTTTTCTTCTTATTTCTTTTTTTTTTTGCTTCATTTCTATTGTTCTTATTCTATTCAGGACAGAATATTATAAAGTCAAAAGAAATAAGAACTATCGAAATTTGTTGTCTTGTTTTTTCTTTTTTTTATTTTGATTCTTTTGTTTATATTTCAATCATTTTTTTTAGCATATTTAAATATGCATATGAGCGTCTAGTTCATAGATATTTTTGTGCCTGCGTGGCTATTTTATTTTTATTTTTTATTATTGCTATTATTACTAATTGACAATATTTACATGTCGCGAGCTATACAACGACTTATGAAAGATTATCGTAAGGCGGAACTGTTAGTGGGACGTTCATCTAATGAACCATTTGCTGATTTTGCTAATACTTCTTCATTTACAACACAAACATATGCACAACAAATGGCGCAATTAAGACGAGATCCAGAATTAACACAAGATGAAAAAAAATATCTTGTTGCAGTTGAACGTAAGAATGCAATTTTCTTCTGTTATTATATCGAAGAGTTCATTTTTTTTATGATGCGTAATCAAAACGCTACTTAGTAGGAAAAACATGCCAACCTTTTCCTTTTCTCCCTCACACTCTCTCTTTTTCTGTTTTTCTGCAGCTTTTCTTTTTTATCAAAAAAAAAACGAATCTATTTATTATTAATCATTAAAAGATAGACAAGCTTGTCCTTCTTTTTTCTATTTTTTTTGGTTTGCATCTATTTTGACTTGATACATGAAGAAATTTATATACGACAAGAAATTTTTCAAGTATCCTTGTTAATTTACATTTAAATCTACGGTTAATTAAAAAAAAAATGACGTTATTTGACAAATCTTCCTTTCTAAATCCAAGTGAATCAAATTTTCAAAAAAAAAAAACAAAGCAAATCATCTACATATAATCATAAATGAAAATTTTTAAATTAATTTTATATAGATGAAAGAAAAAAAGAAAACGTTCTCATTCAACTAGAATAGAATTATCACTTTGAAGATGTTCTCAAAATATAATGTCTAGTTTTAGTTATTATTTATCCAATATAAGTTCGGAAGTGCCTTAAGGCAAGGAAATCTTATCCATGAAAATCGTATTAAAAAGAAAGATGTTTACAGATATAAAGTCATCTGAAAAGCAATTTTTAGAAAAGAAAAAAAATCTGATAGTGATAAATAGTTATTTTATCCCAAATAAAATTTTGACCGCAACGGACACAATATCTGCTGCTAAGAATATAATTTTCTGTTTTCCAATATTTTAAGCAAATGAAACAATTATTGTTATATCCATTTGTATAGGTGGAGATATGGCAACAACTCGTAGATATCTTGATATGGTATCAAAGACAACATTAACATTAGTCAATACTGACGTGCCAGTCACACCAATCAATATCAATTGTCTAGACCCGTTAGGTCGAAGTGCACTTCTAATAGGTTTTTATATTAAAAGCAATTTTTTTTGTTCTATTTTACGTCTTCTTTTTGTTTAATTAGCAATTGAATATGAGAATATTGAAATGATCGAATTATTACTTAATTATAATGTTGATACAGGTGAAGCATTACTTCGTGCTATAGATGAAGAATTTGTTGAAGGTGAAATAGATAATCAAATGAATAAATATATCTTCTTTTTTTGTTTTGAATTATCTATTTATTTGGATAGCTGTCGAACTTCTTCTTCAACATGAGGATCTTAAACAACAGCAACAACAACTAAAGAATAGTATTGATGATGATAACAACAAAGTAAGTTGTCTTCATTTAAATAATGGTATGCATCAGTTGCGCCTGTCTTTCCCATCTGTCATGTGTTTTATACTGACACAAAGAAAAAATGACAACAGAAAAAAAATAGATCTGCCTCTACTTAATTTACTTATTATATATTTGACATTGAAAGATATCATTAACAACGTATTTAGATAGAATAAGATAAGATGTTTACGCATGTTATGTATTCAAATACTTGACAATGTCCTAAAAGTCAACGTTAAAAACATGTCTATCTTAAAAACAATTTATTAATTATAGATTTTAGTATATTGCCAATCAAATAAAACATATAATTGATTTAATCGAATCGAAAGAAAAAAAAAGAAATCTTTCTCGTTATGAAAATATTATTTATATAAATCTATATTTTTATTTATCTCAGAAAGATATTTTTTGTTTTGTTAAGAAAATATACACGAAACAAATCTATTTAATCAATAAACGAAAGAAAATGAATTAGATATTTGATCTATATTTATATATATATATACATATATTGTTTCTGTATTCTATTTATTTATTCAATCGTAATATAGTGCCCAAATAATACTGCAATAAATGATAAATCGAATGAATTATTCACATTGGCTCAAGTTGAATTAAACAAAGAGAAAAACGAACAACAACAATCACATGATGTTTCAAATAAAGTAAGATTTACGCTTTTGTATGTGTTTATTAGTTTTGTTTTTAAATATCTGCGTGTGTGTATAAAATAAACAAATGACATATATATATCCCTATACATATGCAAAAATAGTTAAAAGCGGCTTGGTCTTACTTCCATATATCAAAATCAAATGTATCCTCGAAACATGGTGATGGTGATGAAATTATTACGACTACTACTACTCCGAGTTATGAGGTGGGTTTTTGTGTTATTGCATATATAACAAGGAATGAAACTCAACAATTACAACCTGCCTTCTCTAAACCTTCTTTAAACCATACCTTATTAGTTATTCACTGCTTGGAAAAATTTCGAGAAAAATTTATATTATTACTTAGGAAAAGATCATATATGTTTATTAAAATTAATAGTTATTTATTTAGTTTAAAGATCAGTTCTTTATTGCATTTATTATATATATATGTATATTTGTTTACAGCATGCAAATCTTTCGATTTATTATTATTATTATTTTATTGTGTATATAGAAATCTTACCGTTTTCTATATCTTTTATGTTTCAATTTTCCTCGTCTTCTTCTTCTTCTTCTTCTGCTTCGAATTCTTATTTTGTTTTTAGAATCCAAAATCTAAATGGTCATTTATCCTACAGGCAGTACGGAAAAAAGAGCAATCGGTAGGCGTCATCGCCATATACAAAAAGCGCGAGAAATAAATTTCGTTATCTTCTCCTTTTCTACGCTCTTGACGTGCATGAATGGATTAAATCATTTTATAATAACCGTTGTTACTGCTAAAACACATACACGCACACACATATGCACATGCTCTTTACTCTTTAAATTTCACACATATTCACTTATTGTCTCTAAATGTGCAACTTCACATATGCTATTTTTATATTTGTTGTTGCCTTTTTTTTTTTTTTTAATGATATTTACTTCAAGCTTTAGTAAGAAACTTAATGGGTTGTTATTCTTGAAACAACAAAAATGGACCCAGTTTTTAATGCAATTCAAGTATAAAAATATTTCGAAGAGCGTGTGGTTTATGTGCGTGCGTGGATGAGTGTGTTTGTGTGTGTGTATTTCGAGTATTTAGTTTCCTTTTTAATTTTAATTTCAAGTAAGCACGATAATAATAAGCTATGTTCATGTTAATAAATCCTATAGAGATGCCAGAAAAGTACCTAGTAGATAATTAATAACGAATAATTAGCATTCATTGCGTTAACGTAGCTTATTTCTAAGTAAAACTCGTCAGCAATGGTTGTATGTTTGTCCGTATGGTGTGTTATAATAATTAAATAATTCATAGAAAAATTTATATTGATAGATTTATTTAAATTAAAACTTGTTTATTCATTTATGTATGCTTTTTGTTTTCTAGGTAACCGAACAACTGAATCTAAGTACATCTCGTTCTTATACACCGGATATAACACCTGTTATATTGGCTGCACATCGAGATAATTATGAAATTGTTAAAATTCTCCTTGAAAGAGGTATAAAGAAAGATTCTTTTATTGTTAAATTACAGAAATTAGATTGAAAATGATTCAAGAGTAATGCTTGTAAATGTTGCAAAAAAAAATTCTTTATTCATTGATTCTTTATCTTGTCGCATAGAAACAGGATGGAATAATTTGAGTCTATCCTATGGGATTTCCTTCTTTTTCTTTGTTTTTATGAAAAAAAAAATGCCAGTTCTATCTGATGACATATGTACTCAAGATACTTTTATAGATGTGGTGAATAATAGAATTTATTATAATCTGATCGTTAACTTCTTGTATCAATAGAATTACTTTTGATTTTTTTGCTTCAGGTTTTCCATTTAACAGAAAAAAATTTAATTATTTTTATAGAAATTTACATAATGAAAAATAATCATCGATTGTATGCAATGTTGCATGTTATAAACTCATTTTAAATTTTTTCACATTTTCCTTCCATAATTGTTGACAATATGTCTGAAATGTTATGATCATAAGGATTCTTGATCATTTGTACCTCAAAATAATTTTCAACATATTTGTTTTTTGTAGAATTTAATTTAGAGAATAATAAGAGATAGAGAGAAAATTCTGATGGTTTGTACTAATCTTTAACTTTTTACCTTCCACAGCAGTTCTAGAAGAGACATTAATAAAATAACTTTATAAATAGAATATTAGTCTGTCTAATATACTAATGATGTGGTCTGATCCACCGAGTATTCATATTTTTGTGTAGGGTCGTTTGATTGATCAAACGACCGCATGATAATGACAAGAGAATTAATGACATACTAGGCCTTGCTTGTTTTTTCTTTTGATCCCATCATTGAGTAGACAAAAACAACATCAGTTTCATGCTGTTGTAGTAATAGATAAAAGAAAGGAGTGAACCGATAAACATTAAACCAAAAAAAAAATACATGTTTTTTTGATATATCTTGTTAGACAAACATCTTATCGGTTTTGAGTCATTTTATAATTTCTAATTTTTTAATAATTATTGATCTTGTAGGTCTGATATGTCAAAGCCAAAGCAATGAAAAAAATAAACTTTTCACCAGTTAATAGCTTATGAAGTTCACTACAAAAACTGTTCTTGTCGTTTTCAAATCGTATGCTTCCTTTAGTTTCTGTAACCGTTCTACAAATAATCATTCTAGTGACCAACAAAGGGTAAAATGTTAATAATCATAGAATTCAACGGAGTATGAAACAATTTTTCAGTGACCCTTAGCAATCTGAAAAATTAGGTGAAATTATGAAGAGTTAAGAGTTCATGGATGGAAAATGTATTAGAGAAGTTAATGTTTTACCCAGACTTTCTCTTCCTGAAGAACCATTTAGAAGTTGCCGGCGAGGGCGAACACCTATTTTTGGAAGCACAAACACATAGTTCATAGTACAATAGCTACAAACTCCGGGAGGGCCATCCTTTTAGCTTTCACGCTAGATAAGTCAATGGGAGAAGTACTATCATTACTTTTTAATACTTGCAGATATACGGTTAAAATATGTTGAGAAAAATATCAGATCTTGAATCTTGACGAAGTCCCATAAATCCAATAGGATCTAATAAAGCTCCGATGAATTTACTCTAGTATTCATAAGAGTTCAAGAAGATCAAACGGAAACTCATAGAAGAAAACTCCGATGATAGGATAAGGAAATCATGAAAATCAATTTATAGCTTGAAAAAATCTTTATACTAGACAAATTGTTCTATAGGATAGGATGAAATAAATCAATAAGTCACATGCAATAATTTTTTCGTTCTATTCTAACTCCTGTTTCGAAATCAAAATCCTACCGACTTCAATTCTTCGAATTAAATCATCCTATGGAATGGATCGATTTCAGTCGGATTAGCAGACCTTTTTTTATATAAATTTGATGTCTACCACAAAAGATTAAAAAAAACTAGATTTTTTTTATTTTCATAGGTGAAAAAGTAACTGAACCTCATGATGTTCGTTGTGATTGTGAAAGTTGTCTTGTATATAATAAAGAAGATAGTTTAAGACATTCACGATCACGTATAAATGCATATAAAGCATTATCATCACCAAGTTATATATCATTATCAAGTCGTGATCCAATAATGACAGCATTTGATTTAAATCGTGAATTAAAACGTTTATCACGTATTGAAAATGAATTTAAACAAGAATATGAAGAATTAGCACAACAATGTCAAGATTATAGTGCTGCTTTATTAGCTGAAACACGTTCATCAAAAGAATTAGAAATTATTTTAAATTATGATTCTGAAAATCCACCGGTGCTTTCCGAAACAAAAGAAAAGATGACATTAGCAAGATTAAAATTAGCTATACGTTATAAACAAAAGAAAGTAAAAATAATTTTAGTTGAAAAAAAAGAAAAAGAAATTCACATGTGAAAATTGTTTTTGTTTAAGTTTGTTTCACATTCACATTGTCAACAATTACTTGCTTCTCTGTGGTATGAAGGTCTGCCTGGCTTTCGGCGTCGTCATTCGGTGATTAAACTTTTAATAACAGCTATTGTTGGTTTACTTTGTCCAATATTATCAATTGCTTATTTATTAACGCCAAGAAGTAGCCTTGGCCGAATTATGCGACAACCATTTATTAAATTTATTTGTCATTCAGTTTCATATATTTTCTTTCTTAGTATGTTATTTATATACAGGGGTGTAACTTAGAGAAGATATGATGCAATCCCCACATCTCTTGCTTTTGAAAATTATCTAAGCAATGCATTTTTTGTTTGGGATTCTGTTCCCGTGCCTCCATTACTAAGTTACGCTTCCGTTTATGCAGATAGTGAAGTCATTTTCTTTTTTTGTTTTTAGTTTTACTTTTTGTTGTTTCATTACGAATTGATTTTGGAAAATTATTGTCAGGTATTGAAGAAGAAACTAATGAAAGACGTGGTCCACCACCAAATCCAGTTGAACTAGCTGTACGATCTAGAGCATCATCATTCTTCTTTTTCTTTATGTATTTATAATTTTAGATCATGATTTATGTCGCTGGATTTATTTGGGCAGAAATAAAACAACTGTATCAAGAAGGACTTCATCAATATATGGTAAAAGAGAGAGAGAGAATTCTGTTTCAAATTATGTTATGTTATTATTGTATATATTATAGGCGGACACTTGGAATTTACTGGATTGGATAACTAATTGTCTTTATGTTGCAACAATAGTTCTTCGTGTTATGGCATATATTAAGGTAAGATGATAATAAAAAAACATTAAAAAAAATGATATTTTTGATCAAGTTAAGGATACTCCTTTCTTTTAATGATTTCTAGTTAGCGAAGATGGAAAAAACAATCCGTATGAAATTTTTACCACAGATAAAAGTTGGACCGGAGTCGTCAATGGACCCAATGTGATGCTATAGATAAACAGGATTTTTCTGAAGAAAACCGTAAAAGTTTTATTTAAAATTTTTTTCCTCGGACACATATCTCCTTATTGTAGATTCTCTGTTTGTGGTAAAATTCTCATGCAGACCCGTTGTATCCTCTTCTAAAACCAGAAATAGCCAAAAAATAGGGAAAGATACCCTTATAAGATACTTTTTTGATATAACCAGATCTTACGAACAGGCGTCTCCAAGTGTCAAATCACTTTTTGATCGAGATGATTTTCATTTCATGAGTACTAGTTAGTAATATAAAACTCTAGAATCGTTTGGTTTTTCAGGTCTTCATTCTTCAGATATCAAAATTTTGTTGGATTTCATCAATACAAAACTATAGTCCGCTCAGGTCACATGAAAAATCGACTTTCGTTTATATACTTACATCTTCAGAGAAGAAATACTAGTTGCACAATTAGCTAGTCTCATTTAGAACTTTGTTCGCGCAAAGTTTGAAGTTAAAAGCTAATTTTTCATGTGAGCATAGCTTTTTGTTGAAAACCAGTAGAATTTCTATATCTCGATTAAAGCGATTTAATATCAATAGAAGTTTTCTCATTAATGAGATTTGTAATAACAATTATTGTTTTCATATAGGTAAATCGAGAAGAACGTGATTTACATGGAAAATTCGTAGCTGATCAGGTTGCACATGCATCATCAAATGTTCATAATTCTCCTCATCATCATAATTTAACATCGGATCCAGTTAGTATTTCAACAGGTCATAATGTTCGACGACGAGATTGGAATGCATGGGATCCAACATTAATATCTGAAGGAATATTTGCTGCAGCTAATATATTTAGTTCACTTAAACTTGTTTATATATTTACAATAAATCCGCATTTAGGACCATTACAAATATCATTAGGACGTATGGTACATGATATATTAAAATTTAGTGTACTTATTTTACTTGTGGCATTTGCATTTGCATGTGGTCTTAATCAATTATTTTGGTATTATGCACGAATGAAAAAAAGTGAATGTGAACATGATTCAGGTCTTGATGAATATTGTGCAAAAGATATACATAAACATTTTTCTAAGTAATGTATTATTTGATTAATTTATAAATAAATTCATTGTTTGTTTTTCTATTTAGTCTTTTTGAATCTTTACAAACACTTTTTTGGGGTACATTTGGTCTTATTGATTTACAAACATTTCAAATCTATAAAAAACATACATTTACTATGTTTATTGGTTTAACTATGTATGGTGTTTATTCATCAATAATGATTATTGTTCTTCTTAATATGCTTATTGCTATGATGAGTAATTCATATCAATATATAGCTGTATGTATTATTTGAAAATTATTTTTCTTCAGAAAAAAAAAACAATTTATCTATGTATATTTAGAATTCAACAGATACTGAATGGAAATTTGCAAGGTTTGAAAAACGATTTATTCTTATAGGAAAAAAAAGTAAATCTCATACATATTTTGTTTTAGAGCTAAACTTTGGACAAGTTATTTTGAAGATGGTGGGACTTTACCACCACCATTTAATATAATTCCAAGTCCGAAATCAACTTTTTATGTTTGTCGATACATATATCGCCGAGTATTTGGTTGTTCAAAAAAACAATTAAGAAATCGATGGCAAAGTATTAAAGTAAGCATTGTTGTTTTTTTTTTTTAATAAGTTTTCATGAATTTAATTATTATTCATAAGAGAATACTAACCCTAAAATATGATGAATTTGTAATGAGCTTACAAGGGAATTTCTCTAAATGTCAAATTGTTTTTCGATCGAGAGGACGTTTATTTGATTAGTACTAGTGAGTAATAGAAAAGTCTAGAATGATTTGATTTCTTCGAGCTTTCATTCTTGAGATATCAAAATATTACTGAGTTTTTCAACAAAAAAGCTATAGGTCCCAATCGACTTTGAACTTCAAATTTTGTTTGTGCAAAATTTGATGTCAAAAGTCAATTCTTTATATGACTGCAGCTTTTTATTGAAAAACTCAGTCAAATTTTGATATATGAAGGACGAAGGTCTGGAGAATCAAATTATTCTAGATTTTTCCATTGTTCATTAGCACTCCTGAAATGAACATTGTCTCGGTGAAAAATTGATTTGACACCTGGAAGAAATTTTCTCATTAGTTAGAAATTGAGTAAAAATTAATATGCAGATGTTTATCGTTGCTTTTTGAAGAATTGAAAGTTAGATAGAAATATAATTGAACGATTAAGCGAGAAAATTACAAGGTTGATACAGAGATAATGATTGGGGGAGGTGCGGAATCAAAAAATAAAAATGTACTACTATCATAACCAAGAATTGCACTTAAATTTTCTAGGACTTTTAGCGAATTATGTTATAAATAGACATGCATCCGAAATCGAATTGTGACTTGGTGTGTTCGAAAACCATTCAACTAATTCAGACAGTGTCAGGCATTTGGATAATTGCTTGAGCGTTGCTTGAGATGTATATGCAATCATGAAGGTGACTTTATGTTCAAATTCAAGTTCGAATATTTCCGAGTATTATCGACATTTTTTATATGTCTTTAAGCCTTTAATTTTTGGATCATTCATTCCACTTTGTGCAGATCTCAAGATAGGAGTAAATAAAAAAAAATGATAGTCATTGACTGAATTAAAGACTTATTTTTAGATTTAATGTGAATAAATTCTAACGTACTTTTTCTGTACGTCAAAAGCAGATGTCACAGGACAATGACCAAGATAAAAATTAAGAAAACTTGGTCCTGCACATCTTTCATAATGATACATCTTATATTTTAATTGAATGTAGAATTCATTTCAGTAGTTATTTTTCATATTTAATTTGAAAATTTTGTGAAACATAAAAAATCTTTTGTTTTTTATAATTTTTTAGAAAATTCTTGTTAAAATCAATGAACGTGAAATCAAATACCAAACTGTAATACGTGAATTAGTTAAACGATATATAATGAAACGACAACAAAAAGATCAAACTGAAGGTGTAACAGAAGATGATTTAAATGAAATAAAACAAGATGTATCAGCATTTCGGTAACAAAAGAACTTATTTCTCATTCTTTTTATTTCTCTTTTAATTAAATTAAATTAATTTTTAGTTTTGAACTATTAGAAATTTTGAGTATTAATGGATTTAAAGTTCAATCATTAAAGAAAAATCCAGGTGAGTAGACATTTTTTTATTGATCATATTAAAAAACAAAATAATTAATAAACATAGACACAGGCAAATTCGAACCAGTTGAGGAATCCAAAAGATGTGAGAAAAATAAATTCGTTTGAATTTTTTTTTGCTGTGATTGCATGTGTTTGAAATATTTTTCTTTTTTATCGTTAAAAATCTTTTCTTTTCTTAATTGATTTTTTTAAAATATTTTTCTTTAGCTGCACGTGTTGGTCGAAAACGTGGCAAAATGAATTTAGAAAAAACTATGAATAAAAATATGTTTAATATGTCATCAGCTATACGTAATGCAAATCCGGTAGCACCAACTGATCCTATAAAAACTGATCATAATGAACCTCATGATTCACCATTGTCAACACCACTTTCATCAACATTCTTAACTCCAAAACAAAAACTAGCAACACAATTTAAACGTGCTTTAACAATAATTACACAACAAAATGATCAACTAATCGATCCATCATCGACTTCATCATTACCACCGCAAACAACAAGTACGGAGAAACTTTTCGATACAACAATTTTAACACCTTTAACCGAAGAGTCAAAAAAAAAGAAAGATAATCTTGATAATTTTGGTCAAATGTCATCATCGACGATAAGAACACCAAAATCACAATCATTTATATACAATAAATCTCAACCAATATGTTCCTCAACAAATGAAATTTCAACTCGTAATAAAAATGATTCAAATAGTCCATCATCGGCTACTATACTTGCAATGGACTCACCTATTATACGACCAAATCATCCAAATAGTCCATCAGCACGTTTAGTTAAACAAAGTTTACAACAAATACATGCATCAATTTTACAAACTATGCATCAACATAATCCATTATCGGCACCTACAACATCATCATCGGCAACCTTAAGTCCAATACTAACATCATCATCAACGGCGGGCACAGGTGAAGTGGCCATTTTGGAAACTATATTGTAATCTTATTATATCAGAGTCCCTATTTTGTTTACACACATATCATATACATTGCACTATGCTATTATATGTATACACACACATACACATGCACATTCTTCAGCACGCCTTCCGTATTTTATCGTCGTTCGCCGATATTCTTTTCTGCATAAATATTCGATATGTAAGTCTTTATGTATATATTATATTTAGAAAAAAAAACAAATATTACAATTAATAGAAAGATTTATTAATAAAAAAGTACGATGAAACTATGTAGATATTGAGAAATTTCATATTTAAAATTTACCTAGTCTTCTATTTCAAGTTGTACTTCAGTTTTTTTTTCTCCCTCAAATTTGCTGGGAAAATTTCAAGGTATATCGATTTAAATCATGTAGTAAGAGTACTAAATATGGTTATTTGAAAAAGATTTTATTCCCTTTTTTTTTTAATTTCAGGATACTATCGTTTATTACGCGAAGCTCGTGCACCAATGGCATCACCTGATCCTCTGTCGATAACATCCGAAGAGGGTTCAAATACGCCCGATTTAGAAATCTTATAATTTAGATCCAATAATAAAGCGACGATTGTTTTATGTGATATATTTTTCATTTCCTTTTCTTTTCTCTTATTAACAAAAGTACATGTTGGTTTTATGCAGTAGCAACACATGATGCCTCTATTTCTCTTACTATGTGTCTTGTGTGTGTGTGTGTATATGTGTGCTGTGTCACTTTGTGAGTCGCCCATTATCAGATAATGTATCTAGTATTATAAGCATAGATTCAATATACATCTTGTGTGTTTCGTTCTTTCCTTTGTTTTGGATCTGTTTGTAAAGGGCTTTTTTTTCTTGAAAACAAAAAGAATTATTTTCAAAAATATGTTTATATAAAGTAATTTGAAATCTAATGATTTAATAAGTGTAGTCATGTTAAGAAAACGAATTTTTATTGATTTAATAACAATAATAACACGAAGATAAATATACCTATTTCTGAATTTTTAAAACGTTAATAAATTAAATTTTTATTGAAATAGGCTTGAACGAGTGAATTTTTTCTCATTGAATATGACAAAGATAAAAATGAAATTTGATTGAAGGAATTTGGCAGTATTCAATGTATGTATTTTCAGAAATTTGAGATGAATTACATAGTTTATTTGAGTAATATAAGTCAATTGATATTGTTGATTGATATAAAAATAAATAAATTCTTATTATTTTGATATAAATATTAGAAAAGCTGATGTAAATATATGCTTTCATCGTTTATGAAACAAAAAGTAATTGAAACGGCATAGAGGTAATATTCATGGAACTCCTTTCCAATATTTCTGAAAAACATCTCATGAGCAATATTAGAGACTTTCAGGTTAGATAATAGATCTCGATGACTAGAGCAACACTTATTATATACTTCAAATTTTCTAAAACTCTCTTCCAACTATGAAATATTCGGATTTCAAAGGCTAAAGATCGTTCCGCTTTTTCAGATATTAAACACTGTTTGGGGTGCCCCGTTTTTTGATTTTTTTTAATTTCCTTTGATTTAAATAAAAAGATCAAAATACGGAGCGCCTACTTCCAAAAATCAACAATGCAATATTTTTCAGAGCCAAGAAAAACGTAGGCTCTTCAAACAGCGTCCAGTACTTGTAAAAAAAAGAGTTTCAGCTGGATTGAACGTACTCTGTTGGAGAAATGAAGGCGATTCTGCACTTTATTTGTGTGAAATTGATTTCGAGAAAAATGAAAAATAAATGATCCTTTGTATATCAGGACTTTTTCTTTCTTCAGCAAAAGTGATCGAAAACTGGCCATGTTCAACGGTGTTAGAGATCCATGGCCTGTACTATCGGCACTCTTAGAAATTATCATTAGGAGAGTTTTGCATACAAACAATAATTCTAACGCGAGTTTTTCTGCTAGAGATTTCGAGAGCTGAGTTGAATAAAAGTATAAACGAATAACAAAGAGCACATTTGACAGAGGACATTTCGAAGCAATATTAGCAATCAAAAGTAAAAAATCGAAAAAATTTGATTTCAACATCCAAAAACGGGGAGAACCTTAAATTATCTTTCATTGACTGATTGATGTATATTTATTGTCAGACAAGAATGTTAAATTTCTTTCTATTATTTATTTCGAAAGAATCTTGAATATAAATCTAATTGAACATGCGAAATATTTTATTTCATTATCTGTACGATGAAATGTGTTACTGTCTGTCAAAAGAAATATGAAATAAAAGTTAAAAATTGATATACAATGTATCTCAATTGAATTTGTTCTCTTTGTATTTCTTACTTTAGACTATTATAGTTTGCTTGTTTTTCGATAATGGGAATATATAGCAAAAAAGTATAGACTTCGCTGTCTCCTATGATATACTGATCATAAATAACAAATAAAAATTAAAAACAAACAACAAAAATATATCAGAAAAAAATATAGTATTTTTTTTAGTACAATCTGTAATGAGAGAGTAAATAGGATTCTTTTCTTTTCGTTGTTTTTGTACATTTGTCTATATCTACACTAAACGAATATCGCATATACCATAAAAAAATTTTACCATTAGACAATCCAACTTGACATTCATTGAAGGAAGCCGTTCGAAGCCATTATTCAATCACAACAACAGTCTTTCGCTACTATATTTTCCTAAACGTTTTATTCATGATCGACAGAGAAAATCATCAGTGCATATGGCAAATACGCTTTTATCTATGAAACTCATGTCTATTATGACTAACGCTCCATATAAATAAATATTTTCTTTCATATAGTTCAGATAAAATGTATATTATAATGAAAAACAAATACTATGTTTTTTTCTGATGTATTTTTTGTGTTGTTCGATTTCTATTTGCTTTTTAAGATTAATATATCATGAGATGTAGTGAAGTCTGTACTTTCTTGCTATATACCCATGATTGAAAAAAGCAAACTATAATAGTCTACAGTAAGAAATACAAAAGGGACAAAATTCAATTGAAATGCACTGTAATATATACGTCATACCATATTGTGGGATAAGCAGTTGCCAATTATTACTTTACAAATATAGCATAAGGCATAGACGCATATGTAAACCGACAAAGCTATATGTAGCTTACTGATACATAATAATTATATAAAAACATGTATGTTGATTGATATCTGTTGATCATTGTTATTTAGAATTTTCCATTGTTCGAAGTTTCTATAAGGTTTAGCTAATTTATTTGTACATACCAATACGATTCACTGAATTGAAAAAAGAGTTTTGAATACTTGTTTAATTCTAGACAATTTATTTCTCAAAACTTTTCAATATATTATTATCGATAGAACAATATATATTCGAGCAGTGAAATACTTACACAACTTTTCTTTTAATAAGATAAGGTTTACGAAGAGGACGAATACGTATCAAAATTTCCAAAGAAAAAATAACCAAGTGTCAGTATACAAAATTTTGAAAAATTACTATTTCAAAGAGTCAATACCTTGAATCCTATTTTCTCTGTAATGTAACATTGATACGACACGAACTTTTAACATTTATCTATGTTTCTCATTTATCTCTCTATAAATTTAATCTTCTTTTGTTCACTTATTATTTCATGCTAATTTATTATATACTAGACATGTAACAATCTCATTCGAATGAAAAACTTACAATATCATTTGTCATAAGAATTAATGTCATCTCTTAATTGACAGTTATATCTATATAAAAATAAATGAATCCACTACGAAAATAGATTATTAAATGATGTAAGAGTATGTTTTGTACATTGATGATAAACTCATTGACTCGAGTTGTTTTTTTTAACTGTAATAAAATAAATCTCAGTAAACTTCTAGTTAGAAGAATTATTTCTGTTAATTAAAACAAAAAATTTATTTTCTTAATAATTTTCATAAAATATTTCTATATTGTTGCTTGTATTGTCATGAATTTCTTCAATAAATTATTCATATTGCTTTCGAATTATTGCATTTATATTATACATGACAAACTGTCCAAGTTTCCTTTGTTTGATATTTTCCTTTTTTTGAACATATTTTTCATACCAAATCAAATAATTACAATAGATAATTATTAGTACATTTAATACTCAATAAAACATGAACAAACAAATGAAACAAACATTTGTAAAATGACAAATGTACGTATAACATTTATATTTAAGAGAGACGAAGAAGAAATGCAAGTATTTCTAATTGTGATTCTTGTTTATTATTGTTACTAACGTTTATAATCCAAATTATTGTATGGTTGAAACATATCTATTAAAAAAAACATTGTATTATTTATTGAAATCAATCTAATGCCATTTATGATTTTTTACCTTGTAATGTTTCGTCATAGTCTTCATTCGATTGATCAATATCACGACGCCAATTTTTTAAATGTGTCATTGTGTCGTAGTATTGTTTCATCTTGAATTTTAATAAATAAATTTTCAGTAATAAAAAAGAAAAAAACAAAATCTTTATCTAATCTTACTCGATTAAAATATCGATCAACAGAATTTTGTGAATAAAATTTTGTAGGACGTTCAGGTGCTAAAATCAATATCACGAAAACAAAAAACACATCGATTTTCTATTAATGTAAACATTTAAATCAATTGAATACATACTTGGTAATTCATTAAATAATGGATAAGAATTACATTTCGATAAAATAATTAAAAGTACATTTACAATAATACTTAAAATAATGAAATGATGACTTTGAACCATTTCTATTGTATTAGATGTATTAGTACGATGTTTATCAAATTTTTCTTTATTTAATATATATATATCTATAATTGAAATAATTTTATTTTCTCGTTTCTTCTCGACAAGCAGATACAGTTAACGCTGATTGATTATTTAACACAGATAACTGTTATAGTCTGCCTGGCATTTCCATCCGCTTATTTAAACATCTTACATCCTGTCTAAATGAAGCTTAGAATAGAAGAGACATTGTATATTAGATAAAACAACAAAAATTGTCAAAACTGACAAACTAACTATGATGTCAATTCCATACTTTGACAAATACATAGAGCAGATAGTTATGTTAATTTACTTCAAGAGAAATACTATGATTCACAATTCGAAGAGGCGGAAGTTTATTAATAAACAGAGATATGAAGGGAAAAAAAGAAACAAAGAAAAGAATTATTTTCAACAAGACGATGTTCCTGTAACTAGTATGCTACTTATGAACGACACTTTTATTTGCATGACTTCTATTTTTTCTTCAATCAATCAAATATAGAATAATATTTTCATTAATTTTACGTCATATTAGTCATTTCTGTCCTTGTTAATAAACATGAAATCAAATAATGACATCCTAATGAATATTGTATTGCATCATGTTCTTCAAAGATAAAAGAACTTATGTTAGAAACTGGAATATATCTTCTATAACGTTGAATATAAAGATTGGTTTTCAAAGTGTCAAATATAAATTTACTAATATTCATGTAATAAGAATTAATGAGAGAAGTCTTTCAACTGATAAATTACCTTTGAGGCGAAACTGGATGCATTATATAGAGTCA